GTTTAAAGCAAGAAGGTTAAATTAATAATATTATAAAAAGAATAATACATTAACTTTTTAAAGGGAACACCTATTACTTTAGAACGAATACAAATAAAAAAGTGGATACTTAATTTGAAACTTAATGAGTATTATTTTTTTGGACTTAATTACACCAACACCCCATCAAGTTTGGCCATATATCACTTTGAAATATTTTTCGAAAATAACTAAGTTACTTTTTAGACTATTTTTTACATGTAAAAAGACATTATTAGTTACTTTTTAGACCATTTTTTACATATAAAAAGACATTATTAGTTACTTTTTAGACCATTTTTTACATGTAAAAAGACATTATTACCTTTTTGACTTTGTGTTGACTTACTTGAGGGCTATTTGATTTATAAAATGACATTTCAACCCCCATTGGATAGTGATGGCAACTAGGTAGAATTGGGGCGGATTTAGCTAAATCCTATTTCGGGACAAGTTTGTAATTGGTATACCATCCCCGCCCCTACTCCGGCAGATAAAGTACCGACTCCATCCTGCGTACTCTGTTTAATTGCGGAAGTGGGGCGGGTTATGTTACTTTTATTATTTAGTATAAAATAAAATAAAATAAAAAAACTAACCCATTGTGCTCAAATTAGGCTAATAAATAAGTTGGCCCGGCTTTTTAAATTACTAAGTAGTGAATATTAATATATTAACACTTACAGTTAAATAACAGGAGTCTTAAAAATATAATATATATATATATATATATATATATATATATATATATATTAAAGGTACATATATAATCGGGTCTGAGTGGGTTTATCACTAAATCCGTCTCTGCTCCAAACCCGCTTCGAGTTTTTAATTATTTACATCCACCCAAACCTATTTAGGAGGCTACCAAATTCGTCCCATTAAAGCCGGGCGTGGTAGGGTGGAGACCTGTCGGGTTAGAGGAATTTGTCATCCCTACCATTAGAACTATATTAAGTGACCAAAGCACCCATTGGAATATGTGTGTATATGTATATATAATTTTACAAGAAATTTCACAAAATCCATAAAATAGATAAGTAAAATTTATAAAATATATCGTTTAATTCTTCACACACACTAATTCTTCATATATATATATATATATATATATATATATATATATATATATACATATATATATATCTATGATGGGGGTAATCGCGCGCGCGCACACACACACACACATATATATCTATGATGAGAGTGTTGGTGTTGTTGGACATTTGATGTGGGTAATTTCATTCGTATACAATTATGATGTTTCAAATTAAAAGGCATTAAAAAATGAGGGTAAAAATGTCATTTCAGACTATTTTGACTGTGTCATTGATGAAAAATAATTTAGGTGTGAATGATAATAATTTTCGAAATATGTTACAATATTTTGATAATAATTTTTTTAATATATTTTAACGTGATATTTGACTAAATCTGTTGAGGTGTTAGTGTAAATAACCTTGTTGTTGTTGTTGTTGTTTTTACAAAACAAGGGCCTGTTTGGTAAGTATTATGAACTTATGATATTGTTTTTCTGATATTGGTATCTAAATTTGGGCCCATATCATGTTTGGGACGATATTGATTTGGAATAGTTTATAACATATCATTTTTTTTTTTGCCAAAACCTATATCACCAAAGAGGACTCTAATTGCAGTCACAAAAATAGTTATAATTAATGCACTTTCCCTATTTTTATGAAACATTAAAATCTAATTTTATAAGACAATATTACCCTCTTTCTTGAATTTTATTCTCTCTCTCCGTATGTATGTATGTATATATATAAATTTTAAACGTGTTTTTAAACTGATTCATTCTTTACTTTTATTTATTTTTCATTTTTTCAAAACCAATCATTTATCATATATTATTATCAATAATTATCTATCACTCATTAAACCATCTTCTGTCTAAAGTGTGACTATCTCATTGATGTGACCCGAGCGTGTGCACAAAATAATACACAACACTTTGAGTTTGGAAATTAGTGTCAAGTGGGCATTATACTTTAAATTTATAAACCGCTTAACACCTATACTATGTAGTATGAGTGAGAAGGGATCGTCCCAAGAGATTATACGTGTTGGAATTTTAACTTCGACGCTAGCGTATCAAAAGATTGCAAAAGAGATTTGATGAGATGATTAAACTACTTCAATTAATGAAAATACAATTAAAATAAACTAAGTAGAGATAGGGATTTAAGAGATGTGAAGAGAGGTCTTAGGGTGTTGGAATCACCACTAAGCTCATGTAATTAACCACTTGCTTTCCATTAATAGGGAATACATTGTTGTGAACAAAATGCGACTACTAATTGCATTATTAAGCATGGACCATCTAATTTAAGCATGAATTGTCTTACCTAAACTAATTGTAGCACAACCCATCTAGTTTAAACATGACCCATCTAAGTAGCAATAATTGTAGCACACATCAATCTAGAGAATCATGGAATTTGCAACAATAAGCCATGGAATATCTAAGCAATCATAGATTGTCTACCTACCTACAAGCATGAATTAAATTGTAGAACAATCCATCAAGCATAAGTATAAACCATCTAATTAATTGACAAACCCATTCAATGAAAACCCATGTTTAGCCATCACTAAATCCTTAATTAATCACACATAGACCGGCAACCAACATAGAGAATCTAGTGTAGAGATCAATTCCCCAAATAATCACACATAAGATAACATGCAATTAAAATAGAGAATCAATAGAAAGAATTAATCCATACGAATCATGTAAAAAATAATTCCTAATTTAATCACACATAGACATGTAAATAAACTAGAGAATTAATAGGAAGAATTAAACCATAGAAATCATAGAAATATACCAAGATTCATGAAATTCACAAGGCTATAACACTAATCACAACAATATATATAAATCCCCAAAAATAGAAATATAAGGGTTTAGATTACACAAGACTTAGGGCTCATCCAAGCCCTAAGTGTAGATCTAGCCAATCATGGAGGAGGTGGATGTGGTCATGGAATCAAGCTCCAAACATGGCTCTATCTTCTTCTTCTTCTTCTTTGAAGCTCTAGAGATGGAGAGAGAGAGAGTGGTTTAGAGATGGATCTTGAGATGTGCCTCCACTTCCCTCTTTTCTTCTAACCCCAATCTCTAACTTTACTAGAAAGAGAAATAAAAAATACAATATAAAAATAAAAAGATAAAAAGTTTCTTTACAAAATGGGTCACTTCCCTTTATATAGAAGGTCATTTTCTTAGCCACTAAGTCTGGAATATAGTCCCAAAAATATCTAATCCCGTGTTATGTGGTAGGTGGACTTTTGGGCGCGCACGGAAAAATGACAACTCACTGCCAGCAATGTTCGATCGATCAGAGAAAAAGTTTGATCGATCAGAAAAAAAGTTGGATCGATCAGACTTGGTAGCTTTTCAGGATCAGCCTCTTTTTGTTCCAAATCAGCCTCCTTTTGCTCCGGATTTTCACTAAGACTTAGTTTGACTCCAAAAAGGCCTTAAGAAACCATTTTTAGCCCATTTTAACATTATTGACCTGAAATAGACAAAAACACAAATAAGTACTAAAACGGGTAAATAAGATAGATAAAGGTCCTAGAACACTCAAGCTTAAGGGGTTTAAAAGTATACTTTTCAGCGCTCATCACTCATCATCACTATACTTCTCTCTTGATCTTTACTAAAAATTAACTTTTATCATTTACAAATAATCAAAACTCAATTATATAATTTTACTTCAACTAAAATTCAATAAGTGTGATTATCCCATCACCACTATAGTTCTCTCTCCCTCCGTCTTTATTAAACCATTCATTTTTATCTTTTACAAATAAACTAAACTCAATTATATAATTTTTCTTCAACGAAAATTCAATTCTATAATTTACTTCAATTAAAATTTATAGTCTTAAAAATTCACATCTAAAGTATAAATACATACTCCCTCTGTCCCTTAATAATAGTCCAATTTCACATTTCACATTTTGTAAGGCAAAAAATTTTATCATGCTTTATTGGGTTGGTAAAAGATGCATTTTCAAATTTGTCTATCTCTAAAAAGTAGGGTATTGATTTTTGATGGGGTCTACTTATTTTTGGGTTTCAAAAGTAGTAGTATGGAAAATGGGATCCACTTATTTTGAAAGTTTAGTTAGTTTACTCTTTAGGGGTAAATTAGGAATGCAATAAAAAGTAGTGTATTGATTTTTGAAATGTGATCACTAAAATGGAACAGTAAAAAATGAGATAATGGACTATTAATATGGGACGGAGGGAGTAATATTTAATATGCATATAATCCATCAACCGTTTAAAAAAAAAAAAGAAAAGGAAAAAATGAATCCATTTAAAGACAATTCAAACAAAAAAGAAAAAGAAAAAAATGAAATCATGCATTGACAGGAGTTAGCTATATATATGTGTGTGTATATATATATATATATATATATATATATAGACAGTCGATGGAAAGAGAAGAGAGAATTATAGTCAATAAGCAAAAGAGGGTAATTTCGTTTTACAAAATTAAATTTTAATGTTCCATAAAAATAGAATCAATGTATTAATTATAGTTTTTTTTTTTTTTAACCAATTACAACCGCGACTACAATTAGCAGTCCTCATCACAAAATTGATCATAATGTGTGTTTTGGTACTAAAGCGGAGAAATTAAAGCAAAATTTTGAATTTTTTAAAACAATTTTTATTACCAAATATGATTTCGATTTCTATCTAAAACACTCTCGTAACAAAACAATTATTTTGATATTAATTAAAAAAATATATATATAATACTTAAAACACATTCCATACCAAATGCCAAGTTGACACAAGGAACTTAATTTGTATCATCATTTATCATTTATCTATATCTATATCTGCCACGTAAGAAAATACTCCGTAACAATTGTACAAGTAGAGACACCCAATTATCTCTCTCATCTCAATGTTCCCATCGGCATATCGCCAACGTTAACGGCTAACTTTTCCGATGCCCACCTTTTAAGCGCCTCTCTCTCTCTACAAAGTAGCGACGAAAACTAGAGAGAGAAAGAGAGAATGGGTTAGGGCTCTCTCTCGTCACTCCAAACCAAAACCCACTCTCTATCTATCTCTCTTTCTCTCCCCCAGCCTCACCAAAACCCTAAGCCGTCATCTATATATATATATATATATATATATATATATATATTAGGGATCAGCATATCAAGACCTTGAATTTATAGCGTACTTTTCTGTCAAAAACCTAATTTATTAATTAATCTATGTACTTCTTCGGACAGCTAGGTTTTTTTTGTCTGTTCTCATACTGATTTTTACGAACGACATTGAAATTCTGTTAGCTGATAGAAGGTGTTAGTTATTGTAGAGAGACATGTACAGGGATCGAGGAAGTGTTGGGTCGAAATCGGAGATGGGTCACGTTGATCGGAAGCGAATCAATGATGCCCTAGACAAGCACTTGGAGCGATCTTCACCGTCCACGTCGAGGAGATTGAACGGCAAGGATCTTAAGGATCGGTTGTCGGCACAGTCGATATTAACTGGCAAACCACCACCGGACCAGAAGGACCTTCGCTCGTCGTCTCTGGCCGAAAACAAATGTTCAGATGGTCATACTCTCTCTCTCTCTCTCTATATAATTATACACACGCTTGCATATAAACATATATACGGTAATGAAGTTTAGTTGTCAGTTCGTTTCGTGATCTTTGATTAGTTGTTCATCAATTTCTTTTAGGTAATTGTTATCTGGGTTCTCTGGATTTTCGACAAAGGTTAACTTTTATTTGGGGTTCTCTGGATTTTCATAATTTTGCTTTACTTTTGGTAAAAATATGAAAATTTTGTGGTGTATAAATCAGTTTCTTTTAATGCGGGTTGTAGACAATAATTTGGTATGCATTATCTGTCTGAAATCATGTTCTAGACTGTAAAAGTGTAGGTTCTAGGTCTGAGGTTTTTCCATGTTTGATGTATGACAAAGAAAGGTGTAGATGTGGGTTTGTCTTTAATGAGTAAGATGGAGGCGTCACCACAACACATGGCAGATGTACAACATAAGGGTCCAAGGTTACCGGCCTAGGTGGATGTCCAAAGATGCTTGAGTTTCTCCCAATAGACAAAGGGATAGAGTCCCGTTAGGGGTTCTGTGAGCGATACCTGGACATGGAGTGAGGGTAGAGACTAGAGAGGGAATCTCCTAGGATTGGGCGAGGGGAAAGATCAGAGAGAGATGACTTTGGGGTGGAGCGAGGAGAGAGACCAGATAGATCTCTCTCTGGGGTGGAGTGAGGGGAGAGACAGACGGATTGCGGCGCCTGACCACGGTGAAGTAGAGGGTGGAATCGTAGCGCTTGGCCGCGGTGAAGTAGAGGGAGAGAGTGCTGAACAGTGATGAAGGCACCCTGGTGTTGAGCCACGATGAAGGGGTGAGCGAGAGGTGCTACGCCAAACCATGGCAAAGCGAAGAGAGATACCATGGCACTAAGCTGTGTTGAAGGGATGAAAGAGAGACCATTCCGCAACCGCGGCAAAGCAAAGAGAGAGATACCGCAACACTAAACTGCGGTGATGGGATGAGATAGAGACTGCTCTGCTGAATTGTGGCGAAATGGAGGAATGCACTGTGGTTTTATGCCATAGTGAAGATGCAGATTATATATATACGTAACATCATGCATTACTCACAACATAGTAGAGATCAAAGGTGGACTGAGAGAGGTGGAAGCCCAGGCAAACTTGAGAGAGAGAGGACATCAGTGTGCAAGTTCACCATTGACTCCCTTGGTGAATGTTCAGAGAGTTAGGTGAGAGAGCAAAGAGAAAGAGCAAGAGAGCTTCTAATGTATGGGTGGTGGTTCCTCCATTTCTCCTCCCTTTCTTGGCCTTAGGATATGTCTTATTATAGGTCAAGTGAGTGAGGGTGGGTGATGTCATGTTGGGTTTTATTACAATGATAAAAAGGAAAATAATGTAAAGTAATTGGAGATAAGAATAGGGTGTGTAATTGTATATGCAGTGAAGGTAAATTATATGGTTAGGTAGGGTGGGGATAAGATAGCATTATGATATATTGGTCTACCTACTCAACAGGCCTTGGACTTCAACCACCCAATCAAGTAGTACCTCCTCAAATCCCAATATTCTTGAGTTATGTTCCCATCTTAGGTCTTTAAGTCTTCGATCTTTTATTCAAGGCTTATTAATGACGTGGCGAGTGCCATGTAACTTGCGCGTTGACCGCTTGAACTTTTGCTAAGTGGGCCTTTATAGATGACGCGACAAGTGACATGTAGGATAACACATATTCCATATTTACAAAAGGTAAAAGAGATCAGAGGGAAAGGGAGGGGACTTGGGCAAAGGAATAAATAAAAGGACGGAGAGGGTGGTAGAGTCCTGATGCTGCAAGCCTGCCACGTCACCTGGAATTAACCATTTATGATATTCCTGGCAAGTGCCAAAGTGTAAACATTTCTCACACGTTAGTGTAAGTAGGTGCCACATATCCAATTATTCCCTAGTCAGGATGTGGCTGCCTCATTTGCCTTAGACATGGGTTAAAGCTATTCTTTCCACCATAACGAGCCCTTGTTCAATCCTTCATTTCATGCCTTGCCAACCCCCTTTTTCTACCCGCTCTTGTCATGACGTGGGTTCTGCCATATTTAGAACCCCTAATCAATGATTCTACGTGCACAAGTGCCAAGATGTTACATGTTAAGTGGAGTTTGGAGGCAGTTCGAAGGTAGTTATGTGGAGTTTTGTGTTTATGTGGTAACCCAACTGCAGCTCAAAGGTTGTTTGGTCGAATAGTTTGGACATCCACTTGATTATCATCTTTAAGGCCACTGACGAAACAACTTGCTCCAATGAGAGCACTCTGCCCGCTCTTCCTAGTAGCCTCTCAAATTGGCTCTGATACCAAATTGTTGTCTTCTTTTGAGAAGAAACGAGTGAGAGGTCTATTTTGGAAATTTATTATTGTACAAAGTAAGGGATTATTATATACATGGAGTTCTGGACCCATATTTACCATTTCATGGAATCAAAGCCATGGAAAACATTGTTCATTTGCCCAAACTACCGTTATTATTTCTATGTACCACTTTTGTGCATTTAAGTACCACTCTTGTGCACAGAGGTGCACAGAGGTACCACCACAGACCTCTTACTCATTCCTTGACAAAGGAACACAACACAAGACCCTCCTGGACTTTACCTTAGATTAGAAGGGAATCACATAACATAATATCATAAGATTTACCACAGATCTCACCTCTCCTATGGCATTTGAGCTTCGTAGATTAAGCTTGGGTACCATATGTACTGAGTTCATTTAGCATAGGTTTCAAAGACATCTCAAAAGCAATGCATATATGACTACTAAGTGACATGATGTTTTATATTGTTATGACAAACGCAGCGAACCAAGCAACAATTACAAAACATGACAGAAAAAGGAACACACCACACAAAGAACACAAAGATTTATATGTGGTTCGTCAAAGCCTACGTCCACGGTGGAGATCCGGCGATAGTCTTTATTATAGTCTTTATTATGTGTAAAATCGGAGATTACAAGTTTCAGCCCCTCACTCTCTTTGTATAATTTTCAGTGTCTCTCTTGATTACACTCCAAACCCTAAGCACCCTTATACATCGCAATACAAAAGAGTACAAATTAGGATGCGGATATATTTATTTTTTTTAGGAAAAGAAGAAAGAAATAAATTGCAAATCCTAGGACATGTAGGCAGTAGGCATAAGGTTGTTATTACAATATATTTCTTCCACCCTTTATTTTTGTGTTGCATTTATTTTTTTTTCTATTCTCTCTATCATTTAGACCTTTGTGATTCCAATAAAAAATTTATTTGTTTTTGGGTGTTTCAAGTTAAATACTTTAACTTTTTTGGTCTTCTCCATTTAGCATGGAATGGAGTCTACGGTTTAACCACGTATAGGAGGTTCAAGCCCCCAAACGCTTGCTAATTATACTTACCAAATGGAAAAAAAAGGTTACAGGCTCAGCCCATCAAATGGATGGCATTTTTTTTGGAAGTTGTCAACCTCTCTTATTAACCCTTTTCGTCAATAACTAAATTGCATCTCAGCATTATGTTAGATGGCAGTGGAACCAACCTAAGGGAAAGTTGCTTTACTAATATGGATATCATATTATTTCCATCTCCTATACTTTTCTCCCATCTTCCTTCTTCATTTTCTATTTGTGACTTTCACATAGTGGGACAACATATATGACTGCAACAGTTTATGTGTCTTGTATAGGAATTAAAAATGCCAAAATACCAATTGCCTGAAACTGTTGAGTGAACAACATGGAAGGAAGACAGTAAGAAGTTAGGACAGAGAGCTTAAAGTAAAGAAACATTAGTTAAGTATTCCATCTTGAGATAGGAGGTTTTTTTTGTCACTTTCAAAGAAAATATAGGGTTGAAGTGCGACAGTGAGGTTGGTAACCTTCATCTGAGTCTCTGACATAATTGTTTTGGCCCATATGGCAAAACCTAGAAAGTTTTAAATTTTTTATTTATTTAAATCACATCACAATGTGAGTTACTAAATTAAAATCTCCAGAGGTTTGAGGGGAGAGAGGAGTGATGCAATGTAGAGGAAAAAATGACTGACGCCTTGCAATGGTATTTTTTTGCTTTACATGCATGTGGGTTTTTCGATTGGCTTCTTTTGTTCGGTTAAGTTATCTGTCACATTGGAAAGAGTCTCTTGCTGGAATTGTCATTATAAATGTGGAAAAGTTGTTATAGATTGTAAACTACTCTTATCACTGCCACTAACCTAGCTAAGCACCAACTTTCAACAACGAAAATACCTATTCTTTAGTATTTGTTATTATTATTATTTTGTCAGCAGCAGTAGAAATTGAACCCATTAAATATGCCATTCCAACACTTGCTAACTGTTATACAACAAATTGAGCATGATGTGTGTTGAAATTTAAAGAGGCCACTGAAACTCCAACCTTCCCAATGGTAAAACTTTTATTGCAACTTTGTACCATTGATTTTGGTTTTTATCATGGTTTAATATTATTGGAATTATGTGGTGTAGGTTAAAAAAAAAAAAAAAAAAATTGCGGTTTTTATATTGATTCATGTATTGCTATTATCAATCTAAATGAATGATATTGATTCATGTTATAATATAATATATAATTCCATGAACTTTTGAAATTGATTTATGCATCACTATCACTGAAATTGAAACAGATGCGAAAGCATATGTTTTCTTTTGCTTTTTTAGGGCAAAGAGTAAGAATTGAACCATTGCCGCTATCAACGCCCACTTTAATCTCTCTCTCTCTCTCTCTCTGTCTAGGTCCTTTAATCTCTCTTTGTGCATCAATGTGGTAAAAGTTTTTGGTCTGGAATAAAATATCAGATATATGAATTGTGATCCAATAATTAAATGTGTTTTGTAAAATTATTTAGTATCGTGAATATCCCAAAATCTTGTGTACATTTTTTATTTAACATGTGTTGGTTCATTTACTGGGAGATAATATGGTCTATAAATTGCATATTATATTACTTAAAGTTGCAACAGTTTTTAGTGATTTCATTCAATAGCCTTTTCAAGAGCCAATACTTATTGTATACAACATAGTTATAGAGCAACACAAATACATATGCATGCATGAATACATTTGTACGTGGTCGTAGAGCAACACGAATACATATGCATGCATGGATACCCATGTAACATTTGTACATGTGTTGTAAGAAAGGATGTGCATGGTACTATGGATTAATGTCTATGTGCATATGAAACCAAATTCACTGCTTTCATTTAATTAACAGATTGACGCAATACCAGATACATAGTAGCTGGCAAATAGACATTTATGACATATGAAGTTTTATTGTTATTCTAACTAACAATATTTTTGACTTTTGTTTCATGAATGATAATTTCTTGTTTCATATCTCATAGTGCAGTCTTAATCATTACTGTGAAGAGATTTGAAATGTGAATGATATTACTAAAAGTTTTTGGGCATCTAACACCTTCACGATGTGTTGGGAAAGATTGGATAATTGTCCCTCTACAATGTCATTATTTACCTTATTGTGTGGTAACTTAAGGGTAAATTGGGTATTTTGAGTCATTCTTGACGCATCAGCTGTAAGTAGAGGGTATATTCTTAAAGGTTGGAGGCAAGTATTGTTCTTTGGAAAAATAAGTATTTTTTTTTTTTTTTGAGGTGGGGAAAGGTTAAACAAGTTTTAGTTAACTTTGAACAATACAAGAACAATGCATTTTAGAACAATACAAGAACAATGCATTTTACCAACTGTAACGCTTGTTATATTATATCTTTATTGTAGCTTAGTTTGTATATGAAAAATATATTGGTACTTGTCTGATTTGTATAGTCATATACAACCTTTACTTGATTCTAGTATAATAGTTTGTTTTGGTCAGCATAACTCATCTTTCTTAGACTACACATCACAGATTTGTCAAACATGTAGATTCTTTGCAATATTTTGAGTATGTCATGCATTGGTATCTTAATCCACCATTCTCGCACAATCTCATTCCAAATTTTTATGATTTGCTATATATATTTGTCTTATTTTTGCCAAAAAACTGTTATCAGTATGTGCTTACTATTTTTATCAGTGTATGTATGCATATTTGTTTTTTCTTGGGTGATTGGAATCCTCTTATCCATAGTTGGCATCCAATGATTGTCAACTACACCCAAATTGAAGTATCATATTTTTCACTTTTAACTAAAGATATTTGGAAGTGTGTGTGTGTGTGTGTGTGAGAGAGAGAGAGAGAGAGAGAGATGTTAATTGTGCTCAATGTGCAATACATCAAACTTGATCTGATGACTTTGATTTTATCACCACCCCCCGCGGCCCCTCCAATTTTTTTTTTTTTTTTCTCCCATTTATTACATGATAACATTGCTAGATAAAGTTTGGTACTGGGCTGTATTAGAATAGGAGTTGCAGAGCGGTTAACTTTGTTTGAATAGCCATGGTTATCACTTAACACAACTCAATCAAGCTTTATTCCAACTATTTAGAATTGGTGTCATGGATCTTATTTTGCCACTATGCTGTATAGGGCCATTATTTCAGTCAAGCCACACACTTCCATTTGGACCATATCTTTCCTATCTCAAGCATGTTATTTTTTGTTTTTACTTCCCCTATCATTACCTTCAATTGACCCAGAATGTAGGGGTGGCAATCTGTGTTTCTATGTCATATTCGTATAGTGTCATGGCATGGGTATACTACTATATGGGTCGACACGAACACGACACAATTATTATTCATGTCAAGGAACCTTGACATGAACACGACACAATTATTAGGCAAGTAACACAACACGATTCATGTAACCTATTAATAAATGGGTTAAGACCTGTCACGATACGGAAGACCCCTTTAGCTAAAATTCCATATTAGTGGGGTCATTCCAATGATGAACAAGACAAGTTTACCCAACACATTTAGTTAAATGGATTTAATCAGGTTATGAATGGGTTGGCAGATCAAACATGAATGCAACACATTTAATTAACGTGCCCATTCTAGTCAATACGATTACACAATTATTCCGGATCGTGTTCAAGTTGTGTAGTGTTTCTTGTCACCAGAATGGGTAGACATTAACAACTGAAGTCGTTTTTCACTTTCAAGTGCATCATGTCGTCCTTTGTGATTAGATGTTTATTCCCAAGTGGATTGATTGGTCTGTATCTTTTGAGGAGTGTTTGTATTTTGCCCTTCACACCAGGGAAAAGCTGTCAAATTAACTGTTGCTTTTACTTCCCTGCAACGAAATTATGTCAAGAAGGACAATAGCATGTGGGCTATGATGTTCCACATTATATACTATTAATCACTTAATTGCAATAGTCATTGAGAATCTCATTGTTGTCTCTCTGGCTGGTGCTTTGTTTTGTGTGGATAGTTATATTTTTATAAAGAGGGTTGAGTCTGTTTCTGTAAAGTGCATGGTATTCTTTATTGCTAAATTCTGTTTTATTTTCACCATTCTACCCTTGACTGTTTATAATTTTAATCTTTGCTGAGGTAGTTCCCATTTACATTAATTGCAGAAGAATCTGAAACAGACAGTGAAGAGTCCGAAGTTAGTGGTTCTGATGGGGATGACACATCGTGGATCTCATGGTTTTGCAATTTGCGTGGGAATGAGTTTTTCTGTGAAGTTGATGATGATTACATCCAGGATGATTTTAACCTCTGTGGGTTAAGTAGTCAAGTTCCTTACTATGATTATGCACTTGATTTGATTCTGGATGTTGAATCATCTCATGGTAAGCTTATTTTTCTAGAATCTATTGTATTTTTCTTCCTATGTGCTTGTCCATAAAATTTTTATGCATGTAGAATTATTTATGCTGGAGTTGTTGACTTTAGTCATTTGCAACTTCATTGTTGGATTTGTCTATAGTGTACTTTATGGTCTGGGTTTTAAAATGTGAAATCCTAGAAAAGATTTTTAGAATAAAAGTACCTAATGTAATAAATAAAATCTATGATAAATAGAGAAAGTAAATACTTACAAAGATGAGTGATAATAATGATGATGGGAGCTGGTAATATACACACGAGCCTTGGCAAACTCCAAGAGGTAGGGATTGGCAGTTAACATACTTGTTCAACAAAATTTTGGAAGAAGGTGTGATTTTAAATGAATGGAGAAAAGGCCCTATATCATCAATTATAAAAATAAATATGTACAAGAGTGTGGGAATGAGTAATTAAATCAGTGAATCATATTGTGAAACTATGTGAAGGGTAATAGAATAAAGTTTAAGGAAAGAGATTCTGTAGTGTTCGAAAATCTTCCTGGTACATCTACTTTGGATGCCGATTGTAATACAATTAATGGAAGATTTCAGAAATAAAAAGAAAAAAAGTTTACATATGCTTGAAGAAGACGTGATAAATTTCAAGGAAATCTAATTTGGTTGCCCATACGACAAAAAAGAATTCCTGTATATTACGAATTTATTCAAGATATGTACCAGTATACAAGAGCTAAAGTTTATAGAAATTGCAGAGAGATTGGTGATTTTGCTATAAAAGTAGGTTCACACCAGGATCAACACTGGGCTCATACAACCCCAAGGAGTTGACTCCGGTGGTGAAGTCCTGGGACTTAGTGCCTCATGAAACATTAAGTCTCAGGTTTGAATCCTCTCAAGTGTGATCAATTCCTTAGGGGCCATGACCGCGGATATAGTCCAAGTTTTATCCAATTCGTGTGGAGGAGTCGCTTTGCACGGGTCCCGTGGACTAGTCGGGGCGAAGCCCCGGACACCCCGGTTATTGAAAAAAAAAACACTAGGCTCATATATGCACTCAATTGTTTTAGCTAAAATAACGAAAGATATATAAGGAGACATTCCATGATGCTTTTTACCGATGGAATATTGCTGCTAGAGACTTCTAAGGAAGCCCTAGCAATATAAATGGAACTTGAAAAAGAACATTGCAAAGGTTTTAAAAAGTAGTGAAAATAAAAATATTATGTGAGATGTGAATTCAATAAAGATTCAATTAGTGGCATATAATGATAATAATTGAAGATTGAAAGATTACTCGGAACAATAATTTTAGACATCCAGGATCAATAATAGGAAAAGGATGGGGAGTTAGATAATGGGGAGTTAAATATGATTTGAAACAGTCCAGTAAGATGTAGAGGCGCCAGCAGTATCTTATGTGATAAGAGAGCATCAAATAGGTTAAATGAGAAATTTTACTTATCAAAAAAAAAAAAAAAAAAAAAAAAAAAAAGGTTGAATGAGAAATTTTACATGACAGTCATTAGACCAGCTATCTTATATAGAGCACATTGCTATTAAAGAAGAAATAAGAACATCATTTCCACTATTCCACATCGCTATAATGAGAAAACTGAAATGGATGATAGGAGTTAATTTTTTTTTCCTAATTGAAGAAATTTTTTATAAATATAAACATTATAGTACAAGCCATAAAGTGAAGGCATACCCTCACTTAACACAATCCTTAAAAGGATCACACATCAAGAATAGGGAAAATCCCTATCCTAAAAAACAAAAACAAGCTAAATCAAAATTAGGACATCTTGGAGACAAACCCCCAAGACATCCAAAACCTCCCAAACAATACATTTAAAGACAACTCTATTGTGCTGAATAATATCATTGTGAATCCTACCATTTCTTTCACTCCATATAAAATACAGAGTGGCAGAAATGATCACCCTGCATAGTTTATTCCTCCATGATGTTACTGCAAATTGCTGTGCAAGATCCAATGCAAAACCACCAACAGTTTACTGCCTTTGAACTCTCCACTTGAACATATCAGCAATATCACACCAAATCTGCCAAGCATACTCACACTCCACAAACAAATGATCCACAGTTTCTTCATGATTACAGCATAAACAACATCTAGAAGCAAGTGATATACCCCTTCTTTGCATATTAGACCCAGTCATTACTGAATTCTGTAGAACAAGAACACCTAGAACAGCCCACCTAGGCGATGATAGGAGTTAATTAGAAGATACATTATTGATAATCAATATGCTAGGGAGAAATTAATAGTGCTATATATTAGTAATGAAATGGTAGTAGGTGGTATGGACATATACAATGTAAACCAGTACTGTACCAAAAAGAAATGGGAAGACTTGTTTAATAGAGCGAAAGAGACACCTTGAAACTAACATGGGGTGAAGAAATGAGCAACGACTTCAAGAAATTAAATGCGATAGGAGAAATAGTCTGAGAGAAAAGAGTTAAAGAAGAAAATTCACGTGGCTCACCTCATCCATTAGGATCAACGCGGCGATGATGATTGGAATTCTTTTCTTAATTAATTTGGACATGAAATTTCATTGATAAGATATTATTTAGTATGATCAAGTTAATATAATTAACACAATCATAGTATAAAAAAAATGTATATCACGTACTGTAATAATTGGTTAATAGAAACATACAAAATTAATGTGATCTAGAGACATGTTCAGTTATGCTAGAAATGTTTCAAGTATAAGGTGGCCTCTTATTTTGAAAAACATATGTAAATGTTTGTAAGTGGTCTCCTCTGTATTTTTTTTAAAAAAGGTATTTTTTTTAAAAAAAGGTGCAAGTATTTTACAACTTATGAAAGCCCCTGGATGATTGGGCCTTTTCTTTTGGTTCTTTGTTTTGATAGCTAACCTCAGTTTGTAGGTTTCCCTCATTCAATGGCCTTGACTACATTTTCCATTTATCTTGTATGAATTTGAAATTAAATGTTATGGTTATGTGTGTGGTATCTTTGGTTGTTGGGTCTTTTCAATGAGTATATTGGATTGGATGGAATGTGCAGGTGATGTATTTACAGAGGAACAGAATGAATTAGTTGAATCAGCAGCAGAGATGCTTTATGGTCTAATTCATGTCCGGTACATATTGACAACTAAAGGAATGGCTGCTATGGTGATAATTTATTCTATAATATTTTTGTTATATGTTTAATGCTTTTAAAGCTTTTATAATTGGCATTGACTAACCTTTTACAGCTAGAGAAGTACAAGAATGGCGAGTTTGGAAGATGTCCGAGAGTTTACTGCTGTGGACAACCCTGCCTCCCTGTTGGTCAATCAGACATTCCTAGGCAAAGCACTGTAAAAATTTACTGTCCTAAGTGTGAGGATCTTTACACACCTCGGTCCAGGTTCCAGAACAGTATCCTTTAAAATTTTAAGTACTTAATGCTGCCATCCGGCAGGTGCTTGACATGTGCCTATATTTACCATTATCTTGAGCTGTTTTCTACCTCTCTTTCTGAAAGTATGTGTATTTGTGTCTTATACTGTCATGGTTTTATTTATTTATATACGTTGGAGGCTAAAATGGGGACACAAAGAGTTAGGAGCCGATTTGAATTTGAAGTTAGAATGGAACATAGAATGGTAGTTCCATCTTTCCATGCATCCTACTTGCGCGTATATATGAACTTACGATCCGACTATTACTGCTTTTAATTGCAATTTGAAGAATGTGAGATTGGTTTTTAAATTTCTCCCTCCTGTATTATCCAAAATACAGTCTTTGTTATAGGAAAGGCTGGTTTGGGACAAGTTTCCACCAATGACACGACTTGATGTCAATTGTCACTGAAGTCAATAAGAAAGCATACTAATGAAATGAGTAAAAATAAATGTTTTGCTACATAATAACAATGAAGAAATTCTACGAGAAATGTTAGCCCTCTATTATGGATGTTGTAAATATTTGTCACTACCTTTTTTTCATTAATTTTATGCAAAAACTGAGCACTACCCTTTGGTACTCAAGTGAGTCAAAAGAGAATCAATTGGCCTATGCAATGTCAAAGAAACTTCTTTTACTAATTATTCTTTTGGTGACTGATGGAAAAATGATTTTCAGAAAGCCAACTTTAGGTCTCTTATAGAATAGTTAATTTCATTTTGAGTTTATAAGAATATCAATTTTGCTCATTACGACTTGTTTATATGTAATCACTGCAATATTCCTATGCTATAAGGTTTGCTCAATCAATACATTGTCAAATACCTTCAGGGTTAAAAAAACTCACACTTGGAGCTTTCTTTAAATTGTGTATCAAACAAATTTAATTGGACCTTTGATTCGATATGTTTGTGGTGACTCTTAGTTTTATACCATACTGACCTGGCATTGCTCTGTGCTTTCCTTCCATTGTTCTTTAACTGTATGTAGACATTGATGGAGCCTATTTTGGAACAACATTTTCTCACCTCTTCCTCATGACTTATGGGAACCTCAAGCCGCAAAAGGCATCACAGAGCTTTGTTCCAAGAGTATTTGGTTTCAAGATGCACAAGCCATGAGCCTCCCAAGCTGCCATTTGGGGTGGGATTTCCAAGCTCCCTCTTGGCATATATCCGTATTGGTAATTCTATTGCTTCTGTTGGAAGTAAATGGTTTTGGCAATACAGCAAGAGTTCAGAATTGCCAAGAGATCACAAACTATATTCACCTTATATATATGGTGTGCAGAATATCTGAAAAAGCATTTTGACCTACATGTCAAGCTATTTTGCCTTTTTAATTTAGCTATTTATTTTGAGAGTTTCTGTAAGCTTTGTTGTTTCGGGGTGGAGTATGTATCAGAACTTCCTTGTAGTGGGTTCCTCCATCCTGCTTTAGTTTTGCAATCATGTTCAATGCCGTTATAACATACATTCATATTCCATGGATGTTTTGTGCTCTTCCTAGGATGGATTATCTTTATATATTTTAAATTGCTTTCGTTGATGCTAGTGTTTTGTACTTTGAATGTGATGCATCATTCTCATAATACAGCAATATAATTATAATTTGGATATATTTTGACTCGACACCCAAATCTTTGTCCTTTTACCAATTCCTCTCTCATTAGTATTGTACCCTGCTTATTTAATACTTGTCATGATAAGGGGGATTATAGTTGTTGTAGCTGCTAGAATGTTTAATACTAGTGTTTTCGACTTCCAAAAGCATTCCTTTCTTTATATAACTTCCTAGATGTATTATTCTTACAAATTGTATATTTAAAATATAATCTGAAAATAAATTAAAAGAGGGAGAAAAGCAAAAACTACAATGATATAGGAAGACTTAACATTGATGAATCATCGGAAATCGTGGTGGCTTGTGGGAAATGATAGGGGGCTGGTTCGGTTGTCCAATTTGATCAGGCTTTTATCAGTCTAATTCTAGTGGCTTTAATCACGATAGACGAATTCTCATGGCTTTAATATCCGGTAGATGGATTCTGCTGGATTCTCATGGCTTTAATCTCTGGCCGCCAATAACTCATCTACGCAGCCATCTCAAAATTACAATCAACCCTACCATCAAGAATTCACTAGTGCAATCAGGAATTGTCAAGTGCGAGAAATCATGACAAACAACAGCATTTAGTCACTCGCTCCTAATAGGAAGAGAATGCCAAGAAAATCCCCTACCACTGAAAATTTCACTACACAAATCCCCAAGTTGCCAATTTGGAGAAGAAAAACATCACAAAAGGCACGTAGAAGCAGATGGTACAATTTAATTGCTCTAATGGCAACTAGAACAAATTGCTTCGGAAAACAAAATTTCAAACATTTTCATAAGATAAATAAACAGATGGTTCCAACAACGAAAAGATCAGAGTGACCAGTAAAATAACCAAGTAGTCTGCTCCAGACTTGAGAAAATACATTAAAAAAAAATTGACAGATAAGTGATTTTTGCTGCTGCTCAGCTCTCAGTTTGCTCCCTGAGCCTCCGAATTGTGCTCCTAACAGTCACAGCACTGGCAGTGCTATTGCCAAGGGAAAAAAAAAAAAAAAAGGAATTAGTAGCTGAAAATGAAAAGTAAATGGGAAAAAGTCCAAGACAATCATTACTTGAGTGTGTATGCACCGCCTGCTTTGACTTTGCCACAATCCTTGCAGCCCCAAATCCCCACTGCTTTCCTCTTCACTGCATACTGCAAACAGTCGAGTGTTTGATTAGAACCACTGAAATCAATTAGTGAAGCACTATCCAACTCAGACAGAAATAATAATAATCACAATAACATTAATGACAACAAAAAATTAAACCACTAGAAAGCTGCTACCTTCCCACAAAATTCGCAGAAGAATTTGCTATGCTGACTAACCTCCATCTTCTTAATCTGCTTTCGCAGACTAGCCCCGTAACGGGTACCTGAAGTTGGTAAAAGATTCAGAAAATTAAGAAGCTCTTTGTTGCAAGGAACAATCTGAACTTGGAATGAAATAAAGAGCATATGATGTTTCATTCTATCATTGGAAAAAACAACAAAAGATAGAATAGAATTGTAATAATGCACAGATCATTGAATTGATTATCTAGTCAAGGACCGGGCACATTTACTCAACAACTTGCAAGTTGGCCCTTGAAGTCTGATCATCCTAGCAAAACCCAGACCCAAATTATGACTTCTAACCATTAAAATCCTTAATAAACAAGTGCTTTATATTTTAAATGCCATGATAGAGAAAAAAACCCTTCTATTGGACAGATACCAACGGCCAAAGAATCTCTACCAAATAGCTGCATAAGTTATGTCCTATCTCCTAACTGTCCTTTAACTCAACTTAAGCCGAGTTTTAGATTCAAAAAATGAAACTAAGATCCTAAATCCAGTATGAACTATGAAGCTCTACATCTGCACAAAACAAAAAAAAAAAAAAAAAAAAAAACCGCAATTCCACATTTAGGAATGCTACAACCTAGAAGCAGGATTATGGAATCACATATAACCAGAGCACGATAAATGTTTTAACAACATTGCTTGGTACTTACCATACTTTCCAACAATCCCAGCCTTCTTCGTCCGCTTTGTCTACGTTAAAAAAGAAAAAAAAAGGAATTGCATTAACGTACAAAATTAAGATGCAAAACCAACTTATTATCAACACCAAACAAATGACAGATATGGAAAACAAATTAAAATGATTAAGAATCCAGAGTCAATCCTCAAGCAGCAGTTAAACAAGTTTCCAAATGCTAGAGTAAAATGAGTCTAAGACATCAAAATATATTTTCAAAAAGCCTAACATGAATAAAATATCGCAGTGGATGCATACACATATCCAGACCATTCACAAGTTATGTTTGCTGCCCTCATGTCCTTATACCTTGTACATGTTTGCTGCCCGCATAGCTTGGCGAGGAGAATATATCATTCTCGTTCACTATATAAAAGTACAGCCTCCATTGCCCTTTAAATGCCTTAATCTGTAGGTTCTACTCAACAGTTTTCTCATTGCTTTTATGTCAATATTCTTTGAAGGTTCATTTTCAAGACGCTAATTATTTTGAGTTCTAAAATTTTAAATTAAAAAATAAATAAATAATTCACATAACTATTAGGAGCTTGAGCTAGGTTAGGCCAAGCTGATTTGAGTTTGAGCCAATATCTATTGGGTATTTGAGTTAACAGAGCCAAACCCAAGTAATCCAAAGATCATCTAGGCTCAATTCATTTGCAACCCTACTTGTCTCCCAAAAAGGAAGGTAGGAAGGATAAACACAGGTCCAAAATTTGCACTAGAATAAAACAGACTGAATAAATTGGCCCAAACATGCATGGATTATGAAGAAACATCATTACAAGGCTGAGACATGATTTTTTTCTCTTTTTTTATTTTTTCATTTTTTTGAAATATTACCAATTGCTAAAAAAGATAAGAAAAAATTCTCATATATTGTTAGTAAATTATCTACATTTCATACACACTCCACACATTGCTAATATGCAAGAATCAAATATCCTGAAACAGCCAACTCAGCTAGGGTATAGACCTTGTTCATAGACTAGGAGCTCATTTTTCAAGCTGTCAAAGATATACCAAGGACAAAGTTATGAAAGGCTTTGGGTACATTTAAAATTGAAAATTAAACTCTGATTTGCGCAATGATCTGGATTTCTAAGACCGGTCCAGTTTCTGATTCTACGGACGCAATAAACTTGAAAAGCATACCTAAGACCTTCAAGGGAGAAGGTGTTTTTGTGATATATGTATATATAGAGAGAGAGAGAGTTTCACCATTTGACAGCCCCATCAAGCATCTCACGCATAATTTTCCGTAGGAAAACAAAATTAGATACCAGGTGCAACAGATAATTTTATGTAAACAAACAATAAGAGGAGCTTAGTACGAGCCTTTTTACCAGGAAGATTACTCTCTGACAAAAGCATCATAAGCCTTACCAATACTAGCACTGTGTCAAAGCATTTACTAAACTCATTCCAAAACATAAAATAACAAGAGATTGTGTATGTAATGTAAAATATTATATTAAACAAACCATCAACGACTCAACAAAATAAAACAAGTACATATTTTTATGCCAACAAAAATTCCAGATCATTCATTTGGAACACCAAACAACGCCTTCTCGAAAAACCTCTCCAAACAGTGGAAATTCGTTGAAGCTCAGTTAATACTCACAGAAATGGTGCAGATCAAGTGGAATACAATTATATGTAAAACTTCACATAATATATACATATAGATAGAGATATATATATACTAATAGAGTAGAGACGGGAGAAGACTGAGAAAGTACCATAGTGGTTAGTGCGCGAGAAGGTTCTCTGGTTGGGAACGCAGAGCGGCTATTGTGGGCAGAGAGACGATAGCGAAAACCCTAGATTTTGTCCCTTATAGACTGAAACGGGCTGAATCTGGATCGGGTTTGGGTATAATTAAAACTGATCGGGCTTTTAGTGGCTGAGTACTTCTGAATAATTAGCAGGATCGGATCTAACCCGTTTATATAAGTTCTTTTTTGGTTGTGAGACAATTCCTCAAGGGTTCAAAATGAAATTTAAGATTTACTTGTTAAATTTTATTTTATTTATTTTTCCAGTTTTATCAAACAGCACATTACTAAATGTAACGCCCCAAAATTTTTAATTATAATAAAAATAGATTTTTATTTTTATTTTTTATAATTTAATAAAAATGGATGTTCTAAGTATTATTGTAAAATTAATAATAAAGTGTTTTAACAAATATTATTATTAAATACATTTAAAATAAATTAATTGTAAAAAATAATTATTATAATGTATTACCAAACACTTAATGTTTTTTAATAAATGCAATTTTTTGATAGTGCTACTAATAAAAATATTTTTTTTATTCCAACAACAACTTTAATATTTTTTTTTATTCTAACAATAACTCCAAACGGGTTCTGCATGACATTATTACACATGAGTTTATTTTTTGGAATGCTTTTGTCTTAAGACCATGCTTAGACCGCTTTAAAGCTAATAGGCAAAAAATATCTACCAATAAAGATTCTAACAATAGTTTCTAACAATAATTTAAAAGGCTTTTGAAACTATTGTTTCATATGATGAGTTAAATAATGATGAGATTAAGTAGTTCAAATGCATTTTAAATATGACCAATAAATTTTTTATAAAGGGAATGGTGTTACTCTTAAAAAAAAAAACGAAAAATCACGGTGGTGTTACAAAAGTTTCCGATAAACTTGGAGTATGTTGATTTGATGATGCATCATGAAAGAAAATTACAAACCTTTTTCACACTTCAACTTCTAGAGGATTTGAGAAAACATGGGATTACAATTATACATTTGAGGTCTCAATCTCAGGGAATTCTGATTTAAATTATTTATGTGATTACAAATATTTGAGATTTATGTTGTAGTCACAAATTCTTTTTAAAAGGTGTCGCTCTCACGCTCCGAGAGCATTCCTGCTCTCACGCGCCTCCGCGAATGCTTTTGCTCAAATTCTCATTACTTATACCTTAATTATGTCACTTTCACCTTCCCGTTCACGAATTCGCTCTCACTTTATGTGATTTAGGTTTATCGTTCTAATTAAAAAAATAAATAGTTTATTTTTTTAAAAAAAGTTGCTGCAAGGACGAAGCCTGATGAAAAGAACCATTGGAAATTTTCCTTCAATCCATATTAATATTATTATTATTAATTAATTAATTTATTTTTTTGGGTTCGTCTTGATGGTTAGGTCGAGTGATTAAGAATTTTCTTTTGTATTATCTTTTTTTACCCCCCTCTCCCTCTCTCTATTCCAGCATCTGTCCCATTTATGCATATGAGCACTTGCTCTTTTCTTTTTTTTCCCCCAAATACAAGCTCAGTTTAACAGACAAAATGGCTAATAATAATATTCTTTTTAGTTCAATATAATTTGCCAAAAAGACATCCTTTCACTCTTTCAGGTCATATATAATGTAAATAGACATAAAGACAGATATACAGTCATACGCATACATATTAATGAATTCTTTTTCTTGACTGAATTATAGATTTTAATTAATTACCCAAAAAGAAAATTATATTCCAAATTCTTATAAAGGAATTTCAGCTTGTTCCACAAAAGGGGGGAAAAAAATCTAACTATTGGTATATATATGTTAATATATATATATATATATATTTTTCTAATTTCAATAATAAAGTTGATCCAAATAGCATTTTAATTCAATTCCAATTTTGCGTAGCCCAAAGCAACCTAAAACCTAAAAATAGTGCAAACCAGCAAGGACTTTGCCCAATTAGTGTCTCCTCTCCTTTCAAATGGATGGTTGACCATCAAAGTCCTTGGGGGACAAAATGAATAAATAAATAAATTTCAACCAAGTAAGAGAGGACGTCTCATCAACTTGTATATGAATCCCTCCCTCTGTTATCATTACAAAATAAACACCAAATTTCTAAATTTTGAGAAAAAAAATAATAATAAACACCAAATTTCCCTATAAATCAGAGATAGGAAAACACATTGATTTAACATAAATATCCAGTGTAACTCTTGCATCTAGATAAAGGAGGGGAGGACCTAAGAACATTTGAGATTAAATTCAAAGGAAAGGTTTGAGGTAGTTTAAGTTATATAGACACGGACATTGTAAGTCCTCTTCCCAAGTAGGAAACACAGTTTCTAATGATAACTAGATGTAGTCAATCATTAGGTTTCGCAATTATCCATGAGCTATGTTTGACGGCACGGAATCGGCGCCTTAGACCAAAACCAAAACCAAAACCAAAACCAATCCCGAAACCAAAGGGCCGATTCGGTGCTCCCAATCATAACAATAGGTTTTTTGCTTTCACTTGAAAATTCAGTAAATAAAACTTGTACTCAATTAGCTCGAAGCTAACTGATGAAGTTTCTTTCACATGATGATATTAAGGGAATTTTTGTTCATATTTGGGACTTCATAATAGTCCACTTCACTCCTTACATTCATGTGAAATATAAATGAAAAGAAGAAATAAATTCTGATAACAAAGGTAACAGTTAATTGATCAACAAATTCCTCACCAGTTGCCATCATTACCTTCTTGCACCAAAAAGTTATCAGTCATCACTTGTTTTTATAACTTACAAACCAAGAAAAAACAGAGCGGCCTTCAACTGTACAATTGTCGAAATGTGAGCATCACAAAAACTGTATGAGAACAAAAATGCATCTTACCTGACATGAAACCCTGCAATCTCAAAGCGAAACAAACATATTTTGCCTCGAAATGCCAATGCGTCTTCAGTGAGTAATCCAGACGGTGAGGAAGCCAAACAATCTGAAATGCACAGAAAGTAGTAATGAATTTAGAATTGGGAGACAAGTTAATCCAAGAAGAATCAAGACCAAATTTTAAAGTTCAGCAGACAGTGTAATACATGTAGATCTGAGTACAAGAAATGCACAAATGCCCATATCAGTTGAAAAATATACAAGCAAAATGAGCATGAGGGGACAGAAACTCTAGCTTTTCAGAAAGTGGTAAACAATTACACATGCAGAAGTATAATAGCATAACGAATATCACTCCCTTCTTGCTCGGTACTTGACTTGAGCAATCCCCAAGGAAATCCTTGCTAGCATAAGGTCAGTATCTGGTAAAAGATATAAAAAGACATTTACAGATATCCAACCTAACAACAATTATACAATTCCAAAACATAGGAATTAATCATGCAGTATTTACGCTATAGCATTACACAAGATCCAAACTTCCTTCTGTGTCATCTCTGCAACTGACTATTGTACCATTTGTGTTTTACATTCTTTTGAAGCTGAGTGTAGAAGGCAGGCCTAACAATCTAACATGGTGAATATTTTCCCTGCACCGCCCATGTTATTTTTAATCAGGATAAGTCTATAAGCTACCCTGAACCCTACATGTTTGCTACTTGACGGAGGGCAAACAGGAATAATAAAATCTTCCTGCCATTTCTAAGTAAGAGAATTCAGAATTATTCTTCCACTTCAAAACATTGATTGATACGTTCTGATCTTTCAAAACACTGTTGACATGATGATTTTGCCAACTAAGATAACAGCATACAAAGATCTAAAGCATTGAATCTGCAATTTCACAGTTATATGCTCCTAAACGAAAAAAACCAAAATGCATTAACTGCTCACACTGACATAACACAAAAGCATGGCCATCCCCTGTTCCCAAGTAGATGTCAAATTGTTCCGGCAACAAAGTAACTGTAATTCCTGAGTATTCTTCCACAGTTGGATGACCTTTTCATTTCCATCCTTCAGCCAGTCAAAGATATATCCCACCATGATGTATCATTTACCCAACATGGAAAATGTGGATAAGTCGCCTTAAATAATGTAACAAGTACATCTATCTCTTTACTCCCAACAATTATTTTGAATTTACTTTCAGTTGAGTTTTTCATTTTGAATGCGGCATGCAGTTCACTCTCATGAGTATTACGGCTGAAAAACTCATTCACAAAAAGGCGTCCACAACATTGCATTTTTAAGACCTGCGCAAAAAAACCCATCGAATTATTCAATTTTGAAACTTCAATTATTTAACATCAGTGGTTGTGTTACCATCCTAGTCAAAATAGAGCAATTCTGCTTTAAGATTTTAGCTAGTTCATATTATTTAGGTAATTTCTTATTATTTGATACTTTGATTAGAATAAAGGTAAAAAAAATAATAAGAGGGAGCATTGGGTCGTTCTTGTGTCATATACATAGAGTTTAAAATAATGATATCTTTGATGAATCAAATTCCATGGTCTAATAATGAAGACACACAAAAGGAATTATTTGCACCCAAGAGGAGTCAAACCTCAGACCTGATGCTTCTTGAGGCACCAGGGCCAAGTGATTTGCTGTTACAAGTGGGCCTTGTCCCACATTGGATCTGGATCGGAATTGAAATGTGTATAAATAGGTGGGTATGCAGCACTACCCAACAACTTAAGCTTTTGGGTAAATGGGTAAGCGTCCACCCGTTACAGTTGGTATTAGAGCCAAACTCAGTCCTTAATCCAGTGTATCGCCAAACACCCGGCAAGGAGGCATATAGGTCTTCTCCCTGGAAGGCAGGGTGGCCGGAACGCAACGAGGGCGTTACGCGGGTTCAGGTGGGGGAGAATGTTACAAGTGGAACTTATCCCACATCGGATCTGTATGGGAATTGAAATGTCTATAAATGGGTGGGTATGCAGCACTACGCAACAGCTTAAACTTTTGGGTAAATGGGCAAGCGCCCAACCGTTACATTTGCCCACTTGAGCTAACTCCTTGGGTTTATTATTTGATAGTCAAGAAGAAACGGATTAATGCTTTATGACATGATCGTGGAGTATGTAAAGGAGAGCCAGATAGATACTTCAATAATCGAGAAGAGATGTGTTAACAACCAATTAGCACGTGCCTAAAGCCCTAATAGAATTTTGGTCTATGAATAGGCAGTTCAGCAAAAAATGTGTCACTTCATAAGGAATATAAAGGGTCTGAGTAGAATTTTTATTTAAAGTTGTCCTAATGGAATCTAACTTGGTTATATAGTGCTTTCTTGTTGCATTTTTGGCTCAAAATGTCAATAGAAAAGGGTCTGAATAGATTTCGATTGGAAGTTGTCCTAGTGGATTATAACTTGGTTATATAGTGCTCTAAAGTTGCACGTTGCCTCAAAACCCCAGGCTAATATCATTGACCTTTGTTTAATATACAGCAACTTCAAGAGCTCTATTTTATGCTTCTCTTGACTATCCTAAATATCAAGAAGGGTATAAATGCTTGAACCGTGAACCCTAAATGAAAGGAATTTCCCAGAATTGATCAGCCAAAACAATCAAATTTTCTTCAATCTAGGAAAGTGACTTAATTACCTAAGAATCCACATTCTTTTTGTGTAATTCTATTATCCCTATAGCTTGTGTTAAATATAATTCCAACTCAACCATTCCCAAAACAAACATGAATGAAGTCAACAAAATCAAATTGCAAATTTATCTCCAATAAAATTGATTCCTTTGATTAAAATCCTTCCATCCACCCAAACTTCAGTTCCTTTTTCATCTAGAGGTGCATATTGTTGTCAGGGGCTTATATGTTATTACTTATACAATGTTGGGGCTTATGTGTAATTTCTGAAACTTGTTATTACAAATAGAATGTGGTGGAAGGATGAAAGTATCCTCTCTCTCTTTCCCCATCTCTTTCTCTTTTTCTCTTATCTGATTTTTCTTTTTTTCTTTTTTTCTTTTTCTTCTTTATCACGTACTTTTGATTTGATTATATCTTAAAGTCAACATGGTATCAAAGCGTGGTTTGTAAAGCTTTAGGTTTGTAGTTGAAACCCTAGGACAAGTTTGTGTAAACCTTAGTGGGTGTGAAGGGTTTTGAAAAGATTCCAAGATGGGATTCGTTTGCAAGGAAGTAGTGTTAATCACATCCACACGTACCTTTTTTTATCTATTGCAGTCTCGATTGGTAGTTTTTTGTGTTCGCGGGGTTCTGCAACAACGGCTTTTTCTTCGTTATTCGCGATTCTGGTATGGTCTACTTTGTTGCTTTCGAGGATTTGTGTGGTGACTGTGTGGTCGCTTTTTATGCATCTCAGGAGACGGTAATCTTTTTAGTTGAAGTTTGTGTGTTAGAGAGGTGGTTCTTTACGTATTTTGTTGCCCTTTTTGTTTCTGAGGATTGTATACCCAGAAATTGTTTGATAAAATGTCTAGCTCAGAGGTGACTTCAAAAGAAGCTGGGTCATTTCCTAGTCTGACTCCAGTATTGGGAGGTAGTAGTGATCACCATCCAGGCCTTTGTATTACGACTGTTAGGTTGGATGGGACGAACTATATGGAGTGGGCTCAATCTGCTCGTCTGCATATCACTGGTTGTAGGATGATTGACTATATCGAAGGGACTGTCACGTATCCCTCCAAGAGCGATCCTGAATTCAAAGAGTGGAGTGCAAATAATGCACTAGTTATGGCGTGGTTGTTACAGTCCATGTAGCCACAGATCAGCAAAGGGTTTCTGTTGTGTTTCTTATCCTACTAGTATTAATAAAAATATAGCTCCTTTGTAGCTTGTTCATTATGATGAGTGGGGTCCTGAATCTACTACTTCGTTTCTTGGTTTTTGTTACTTTGTTGTGTTTGTTGATGACTTTAGTAGATGTACTTAGCTTTATCTTATGTAAACCAAAGATGAATTTCATTCCATTTTTAAAAGCTTTAATAGGATGGTATGTACTTAGTTTGGTTGTCCCCTCAAAATCCTTCGATCTGATAATGGAGGAGAGTTTATGTATGGTGGTCTTGCCTCCTTTTTTGCTGATAACGGGATTGTCCATCAAACCTCTTATGTTGATACACCATAACAGAACGATGTAGTTGAAAGAAAACACCGTCATATTATAGAGGTCACCCGTTCTCTTCTAATTGGGATGGGAGTGCCTAAAAGTTATTGGGCTGATGCAACCTTAACAGCTACATACCTTATCAACCGCATGCCTTCTAAGTTTCTTGGCTATCAATCCCCCTTCTCTGTTTTACACCATGTCACTGTCGTGTTTACTGTCCCTTCGAAAGTGTTTGGTTGTGTTTGTTATGTTCACATTCATCATCGCAAGGACAAAATGGACCCTAAGGCAATCCGATGTGTCTTTCTTGGATACTCCGCCACTCAGAAAGGGTATTGGTGTTATAACCCTACCACTTGTCGTCGCTTTGTCTACATGGATGTTACATTCTTTGAGTCTGTTCCTTTTTTTTCCGTTGCTCGGGATTCTCTACAGGGGGAGACTACTATACGGGTAGAGAAACCGTTGTCCATTCAGAGGGAATGCCCCCTTCCTTTGCCTGTTCCCATTCAGGGGGAACTTCTTACTGAGGTGCCTATGTCTAGTCCTCCTAACACTAATGATTTGCAGCAAGGAAAATAGCCATTTGTCTACAGTAGGAGAGCAAAACAAGTTATTGACTCACCCCAAGACCAAGAAGTCTCCGTCGATCCAGGTAATTCCTTAGTTGACATTGATACTCCTAATTCTTTTTCCAATAGCATTCCTGTTGATCTTGATGTCCTTATTGCCTATCGTAAGGGTGTTCGTAGTGTCCCATATCTCAGTTTGTATCCTATGATGCCTTATCTCCAACATATCGTGCTTTCACTTCGTGTATCTCCTCTGTATCTGTTCCTTCTAGTGTTTCAGATGCTCTCAATCAAACTCCATAGATTAAAGCTATACTTGAAGAAATGAAGGCCCTTGAGAAGAATGGTACTTGGGATATTGTTCCATTACCTAGGGGTAAGAAGCCAGTAGGCTGCAAATGGGTCTACACAATAAAATATCATATAGACGGAACAATTGAGAGATATAAAGCTCGGTTAGTTGCAAAGGGCTTCACTCAGACCTATGGAATTGATTATCTGGAAACATTTGCTCTAGTTGCCAAGATGAACTCTATACGTGTTCTTCTTTCTTTAGCAGCTAATTTGAATTGGCCCTTACATCAGCTGGATGTAAAGAATGTTTTCCTTTATGGTGACTTAGAGGAAGAGGTGTATATGACTATGCCACCAAGGTTTAAGCTTGCTAATATTCAAATTTTAGTGTGCAAGCTAAATAAAGCTTTGTATGGATTAAAGCAGTCGCCACGTGCTTGGTTTAAGAGGTGTAACACTGCTGTGAAAAGAGTAAGGTACACACAAAGTCAGGCAGATCATACTCTCTTCATCAAGAAGCACCAGGGCTGCACCACTACCCTTATTGTATATGTTGATGATATTGTTATCACTGGAAATGATCCAGAAGAGATTCGTCAAATGAAGTCATTCTTGGGGATAGAGTTCGAGGTTAAAAACCTCGGATCATTGAGATACTTTCTTGGCATCGAGGTGTGCAGATAAAAGAAAGGGGTGTTCATTTCTCAACGGAAGTGTGTTAGTTTTGTTGGCTGAAACAGGCAGGCTTGGAGCTAGACCGATTGATATTCCCATTGAGCAGAACCATAAGCTTAATGATGTAGATGAAGACCCATTAGTGGGAAGATTTCAGCGATTGGTTGGGAAACTAATTTACTTATCTCTCACGCGCCCGGATATTGCCTACGTTGTTAGTGTGATTAGTTAGTTTACGCATGTTCCACGTACATATCACCTTGAGGCAGCTCATAATGTTTTTCGCTACCTCAAGGGTTCACTTGGTAAGGGGATATTGTTTGGCAGTCATGGCCACTTGTGTGTTGAAGCCTATACTGATGTTGATTGGGCATGGCCTGTGACAGATCGATGACTTACTTCAGGATATTACACATTTGCTGGAGGTAATCTTGTTTCATGGCGAAGCAAGAAACAGTCTGTAGTAGCTAGATCTAGTGCAGAGGCTGAGTTCAGATCCATGGCACATGGAGTTTGTAGTTGTTAAGGCTACGTACAATGTTGGGTGAGTTAGGTTATCCTGTTTGCGAGTCAATGAAGTTGTATTGTGACAACAAGGCTACTATGAGCATTGCCCACAATCCAGTTCAACATGACAGGACAAAGCACAATGAAGTCGATCGACACTTCATCAAGGAAAAGCTTCGTCTTGGCTGATTTGTACTCCATACATCAATACACATAATCAGGTTGCTGATGTTTTGACTAAAGGTGTAAGCAAGACTTGCTTGCAAAAATATGTTAGTCAAGTTGGGCATGATAGATATCTTTGCACCAGCTTGAGGGGGAGTGTTGTTAGGGGTTTATTTGTTATAACTTATATAATGTTGGGGCTTATGTGTAATTTCTGAAACTTGTTATTATAAATAGAATGTGGTGGAAGGATAAAAGTATTATTTCATTCTTTCTTCCTTTCCCCATCTCTTTCTCTTTTTCTCTCATCTGCTTTCTTCTCTTTTTCTTCTTCTTTATCACTTACTTTTGATTTGATTATATCTTAAAGTCAACACATACACCATTTTCAATTCGATTGAAGAAAAATTTGAAGTTCTAGTAAGGGGATATGTGGATCATGATTTAGGACAATAAAAGGGATCTTCTTCATGGTATTATTGTAATGAAGTAAAGGAACAAAAAAATTGCCTTCTTAGATGTCTTCTGGGAAGTATGGCTCGATATAATAAGATAAAATTGAAAATTGGGATACACTAACCTAATCCAGTACACTGAAAATAGAGAAATGAGGCCATCAAAAATCCCAGACATTGAGCTCATGCCAATTGTTATCAGCCAAAGTATGCATTTTACCATACTAATTATCTTCAACTAGAGTGTAATTGAAATCTCTAGCCCTTGCCTGGAAACATCTTGTTACCTACTTATTGAGACTAGAAATTGGATGGATTGATGTACATTGGCCTAGTTGTATTATGACCTAAAGTATTATTTCCATTTACTTTTGTTGATGTTACATTTGTGACTCTAAGTAATTCAAAGATAAGTAGAAGTCGGTAAAGTGGAAAAGTGAATAAAGGTCAATAATATCTGTTTCATGCAATATCTTTAAATTGAAGATTCTTTCAAAGATCTGAGTTCCAGAGCAAGCTTTCAGGAGCCAGTCCAATCCATTATAATTTCCCCTTTAAAGCAAACAAGTGGAGCAGGGTGCTCAGATGAGAATCAAAACCACATTGTTTGCATAGCTTTAATAGATTTGACAGGTGAGATCGTTAGGATCTTAAACTCATACCATATAATAAAAAGGTAGCTATAGCACAGGAAGCAAAGTAAGATAACACTACAGAAGCAAGTACAGTAATACTGGTCCAGAACTCTAATAAAGAAAATTTTAGCTGTAAGGAAATTCATCATTGCTAGGTCAGTTGGATATATAGAATGAATGAGATCCTTAGTGATCTGGCAGGCAGGATAATATTTTTTTTTAATTATAAATTAAAATAAATCAAAACTTGGGAAAAACAGCTTCAGATAGCCGTGAGAAGAAAAAGGGAGTTGTGGAGGTAGGCTTCTTATGTTGAGGACATAGAAGGCATATGAATTAGAGCTATTTGGTTTCTAGGCACTGCATAAAGCACAAATAACCTATTTAGCAAGAAAAAGAAAAAAAATAAAGGAAATCATTTTCCTTTGTACCATGAAAAACAAGGAGAACGATGAGAGAAGGGAGCAATTTTTAATTATATAGTCATTTTGTTTTCCTCAATCTCGACTATATTTTGTAAATTTTTAATTTCTCCTTTTATTTAAGTAGGAGAGGAAATGTGAAAAAAAAATATTTTTCCTTTTTGTTTGATAGGTAATATATTTGCCTGCTTACGTTAATTCTATATCTATTTACATACCTAACAAATGAACAACAACATTGTGTACAATAAATTTGGACAACATATGGTTCCTTGACAACTATGTTAACATTAAATATGTTATATCTTAAAAGGAATTGAGATCTTATCCTTTGGTAGTCTTAATAAGGATGTCTTTTAGAGAAAATATATATATATATATATATATATATATATATATATTGATTATATAAAAATGCAACTTAACTAGTTTATTGGATCATCAGATCCCAAGACATATTTCAAGAAATGCAGAAATACCATCACCACCCAAGATGTTGATTATTGGTTTCATGATCTCTTAAAAACCCAATCAATTGTACGTCCCAATTATTTTCAAAAACCATACAATCTCATCATGTTTCAGTTGTTACCATTTATAAGATTTAGACTACAAATTCATGTATTTGCTGAGGACAAGACTTATAAATGATTAATAGAAGGGAAATGTACCATTCTGCCATAGCCATGAATTACCAACCCTGAGAAGAACTGATAATGAAGATTGTCAGGAACATCCCATCACCCCAGACTTTCTGGAAACTGGCTTTGTAGCTCCAAAAATATCACATGACAAAATGCAAATATACAGCCGACCACCTCAAAATTAAAAAAAAATCCATCTAAGAGTTTGCTAGATCCACCAAACCAAAAGTCTCAATTAGATGGAGTTCTTTTGGTTGGTTATGTATCTTTTCAAAAATGTCCTTTAGCTTATCATGTTGAACCATCACTTCCAATATTTTATCTTCTGAATCTGTGGAAGGGATTGGTGGCTTATGAGCTTTCCAGTCCGTAGAAGAAAATATCAACTCAGATAACCGGTCTTTCTCAGCCTGTCGTACATATATCTCTCCCTCCATCGTGCCGGAAGTAATGAGATGGTAAATGTGCACAACCTTCTTCTGACCAATCCTGTACGCCCGGCTTATTGCTTGCCTTTCTACTGATGGATTCCAGACAACGTCAAGCAGAACAACTCTTGAAGCCCCTACCAGATTAATCCCTTCAGAACAAGCCCTGGTAGAAGCAAGTAGTACCCTTACTTCACTGTTAGGATCATTAAAAACACTAATTGAAGATTGCCGCTGCTTTACATCACGTTGTCCATCCATATACAACACCTCCTTTCCTTCCGTCCAATCAAAATGAGACTTAAGTTGGTTCATTATAAAGGCCAACGGATCAATGTATTGACTAAAAACCAAAACCTTCTCATTGAATGCTCCACTTAGCCGGATGAGTTCGATGAGGAATTTTGTTTTGACTCCATCATCAGAATGGAATTTTTTGACTCCATCATCAGAATGGAATTTAAGCCTTTCCAATTCATTCTTATCCACAGAGGACTCTTTTGTTTCTGAAAAGTAACTCTTCGGGACCAATGAAGGGTGAACAGAGATCAATGACACCAAATATCCCAGTTCAAGTGGATTCTTTATTCCTTGAAGGCCTTCCAAGAGGGTCTTTTGCAACTGCGTTGGCTTTAAGAGAACGAGGGAGTCCCTCAACCCAGGTAGCCTTTCTTGAAGTATGTAACCTTTGTGTACATGTACAAATGGGTCAATCATAGCTCTGAGTTCCTTTAGTTTATCATCGGCATCTTTGCCAATGGTGCTGGTTAGAGAAACCCATTTCCCTCTCGCCAAACTGCTTTTCCGCCCACGCTTCTTTCTAAAATCTCCATTGCTTTTAGTTATGATCCGGTCAGCAAACTTTGGTCTGACCAAACAGAGTGTATTATAGAGCTCACTAAAGTTATTCTGGAAAGGTGTTCCTGAAAGAATGATGCGCTTTTGAGTTTCAATTTTTGACAAAGCTTTCCAGATTAGACTTTTCTTATTGCGAGGAGTGTGCCCCTCATCGAGCACTAGAAGACTCGGAAGTTCGAGGAGGATTTTTTTAAATACCTCATCTCCTGCGTCAGGTTGAACCTTTCTTTTCTCCTTACCTCCTCTATCAACCTCAACGCAATCTCCCGTAAGTTTCTCGAACAATCTGTAACTGATAGCCAGGATGCTTCTATCCTTTTTCCAGGAGTACAACTTTACCATACGGATAGTTTTTGGACTTCGCTCATTTTTTGCAACTTGCTTCAGAAAATTGACAGCTATCGCATTTTCCTGGCCAGAGTACTCTGGATTGTTCAGATTGTGAAAGGGAATGTCAACATTCCATTTTCGGAACTCTTCTTCCCATGTAAGGAGCATGCTGCAAGGAGCAATAATAACTGGTCTGCATGTTGGAAATAGTTTTAGGTATGTTTGGAGAAAGACTATTGCCAAACGCGTTTTTCCAGTCCCGGGAGCATGTGATATAATGCATCCACTTCCACCGTCAAAAGCAGGCTTCTTCAACTTCTCAAGGTGTATTCCACCAGCTATATTCTTCCAAATAAATTCAAAACCTTCCTGCTGATGTGGATACATACTGTTTTTAATTCCAGGAATAATGTCCCATACTGTGCCTTTTTCATGAACAGAGCAATTAAGACCAGACTGGTTTTCACAACCAGAAATTTGGGACTGAAGCTCATCAAAAACAGCGCTGTCTGATCTGCCAAACTGTCTTGAGTCTCGATTTCCCCAAGGACGCTTACTCTGTTTGAATAACCAAGTTCAAGTAGAATCAGATAATTGACATTTTATCAAGTATATAAGCAAAATAGCTATTTTTTTTTTGGTAGGTCAGAGTTTCTTCTTAACACAAATTACATATTCGAATCAAAATAAATCAACAAGCTTTATCCCAGACACGGGATTAGCTTCACAAATCATATTCGGGCATTCTGCTTCATCTAATCTCAATACTTCTAAGTCATTCACATTGACCAGAGGAATTATTATGAAAACACAAACAACCAACTCGGTATTATGATACCTATTCAATGCACTATAAACTATAATCCCAGTTACAAGGACAATTGCAATTTTAAGTTAATGGCCAATATTACTTTGTGCTCCAAAATCAACATGAATATCTAGAAAGCTCATCACGAGGCAAGTTCAAGTGTCTCAAAACATTTAAATATATATGAATTACACAAATTTAGAAATTTGGATATCAAATTGAGCCCTGGTCAAATCGACTGACTGTTGAGCGATTTGAGTCATGCCAAGCCTGCTCAGCTATAGGCTAAGATGTGAAAAAGCAAAATCATAACAAGGCTTCTGCAGTAGAAAGATACCAACTAATGTATGAGGACTCCTCAACCTACTATCAAGCTAAATAGGCAATCACATGATCGCGTATATCACGTTCATTAAGTATAACTCACCATGATTTTAAGTCAATAATATATTATCAAAAAACATCTGAAAATTTAATGCAATTTATTGCAAATGAAACAGGCCATATGGAAATAACATAAGCAATCTTAACAAAAATAAAGATCAATAAGACAGGTTTGCATGACTTACAAAGGATGGGAGAATATGTTTAATCTCCAGTTTCACAAAAGAGCAGATTTCGCATCTAAGACCAATTTGTTCATCAATAATTAGCTGATGCTCTCCCTGATGGCAAAGGGTAATTGGATCAATTTCAGTCTCAAGGCAGATGTTGTCATTATTACCAACCTGCAGAATATCATTGGCAAGATGAAGTAACAAAACAAAAAATGTTGAAAGATATGCATAAACCAATAAAGACATAAAAATAAAAAATATAAATATATATATGTATATATAAAAGGAGTGCAAAAGCCAAAATGAATGCATTTGACAACTTAAAAGAGTCGAATAGGCCATAAGAAAATTGAAAACCACATGACGTTGCTTGGATTTGTGCAACAGATTCCGAAAAATGGAGCTGGTGTGAAATCATGACTTTGTGTAGACCAAAGGAAATAAAGAAGGAAAGCCAAAAAGGAAAGCGGTAAAGTAAGAAGATATATTTCATAAAAAGAAATTGCTTCCACGATTATTGAAATAAAAGCAGACATATGCACGAGCATTTGAAACACTGATATTAGGCTACAATCACATATATCAAAACTCAACAAAATCTGAAGCAGTGGGCATCTATGAAGTGTGAACACACACGCATATGCACGGAACATTTGAAATTGTCTTTAATAGAAAAAAGACAAAGTTGGCAACCGCATTAAATCTTTATATCATTTATCTAAGGCATAAATACTTCTTAAATTAATAACATCATCATCCTTGCCTTTGTCCCAAATTAATGGGGTCAGCCACGTGACCTCTTTCTCTATTCTATTCTATTGTACACCATGTCTCCTCTAATATTTAAATTTTAAAGTCATTTTTAATTACTTCATTCCATGTTAGTTTTGGCTGGCCTCGCATTCTCTTACCTTCTATGCAAACTACTCATTCCTTCTTACGAGCGCATCGATAGGTACGTTCTATGCGTCCATACCACCTAAGTCTAGTTTCTCATGTTTTTTCACTAAAAGGCGTTATTCCTAGAATCTCCTTCTCCAACACTCTGCCCATATAAGATAGATGGCCTAATGACTGTCCTATAAAATTTTCCTTATAACCTGTCTGGGATTTTTCTATCACGTAGAATACCACTAACTTGTCTCCATTAGTCCAACCTACTCCAATCCTATTAGCAATATGATCGTCTATTTCCCCTTTTTCTTGTATTACTGATCCTAAGTATCGAAAATGGTGATTTTGAGTGACCCTATGGTATTCATTGCTATTATTACATAATTATTTTTCGATTCTTTATTGAATTCACATTCCATGTATTTATCATCTATTTCCCTTTCTCTTGTATTAATGATCCTAAGTACCAAAAAATGATGATTTTGAATGACTCTATAGTTTTGGATTGCTATTATTATATAATTACTTTCCGATTCTTTATTGAATTTAAATTCCATATATTATGTTTTAGTCTTACTAATTTTTTTACCTTTCGTTTCTAGTGCATTTCGCCAAGTTTCTAAATTTATACTCGAGCCTTCTTTAGAAGTATCCATCAATGTTATGTCATCCACAAACAACAAGCACCGCGGGATGTCTTCTTGTATATCTTTCATTATTTTATCTAAAAATAGTATAAATAGGTACGGGCTAAGTATTGATCCTTGGTGTAGACCCATTTTTACATATAAATCATTAGTTTCTCCATATACAATGCAAACCCTAGTCTAGGTATCTTGATACACTAAGAAGCACGGACACGGATACGACACGACACAGTTACGGCGACATGGCAAATCCTAAAAAATCAGGACACGGACACGGCAGGAACACAATGAATAATAAATACATATATTTATATAACTAGGAAAAATACATATATTCTTTAAGAAATTAAGAGTAATATTATTTTTTATCAACCTAATAATGAAAAAAAAAATTGTGCTTTGCCGGGGAAAAGAGAGGATGATAGAAAGAGGAGAAAACAAAGAAACATAAATATGCAAGAGTTTGAACCTTTGAACTAAGTATAAGCATAAATATCTTAATTGTTTAATATAAAATTGTTTTATAAAACAACTACTTCTAAGTAATTACATAATGACCATCATATTATTGAAAACTATTGAACAACTCCTCATTGTTACACTTCAACCTAGCTTCTTTTTAGAACTTTCTTAAAATCCCCAAGTTCCTTACTCATCAAAAAATAAGAAAATAAAATAAAATCACACCGTGCTCGTGCCGTGTCCAAATATCTATGGTGTATCTGATGCGTGTCCATGGTGTGTGAGTGTCGTGTCCGAAAATTCAAAAAAAAAAAAAAAAAAAATCAGACACGTTTTTTGGCTTGTCCCGCGTGTGTTCGTGTCCGACACAGATTCTTTGCCCTTTCTGGCGTGTCTGTGCTTCCTAGCTCATACATATCCTTAATAATGTTTATAAGATTTAAAGGGACTCGTTTTCAATGTAAGGCCCACCAAATTATATCTCTTGGTATCATATGTAGATTTATTTGCCTACTTCTACATTCTTCTATCAATGGCCTCCTCTAAGTCTATAAAAACCATGGTATGTTATTAAGTACCACCGTCAAAAGATGTTGACATTATTCTTTCCATCTATCTAATACGTCCATCCCTTTAAGTTCACATTTCTAATACTTCGGCTTTATTATGCATTAAGTCAAAAAAATTGGACATGATATTAATCATGTATTCAAAGCAGAATAGGTAAAATGGAGGAATGCTTCTGCCGTTTTGTGCAATTGACGAATACCTCTAAAATTGGAAGTTAAATTTTATAAAAACAACTATTAACAATCATGCATCAATTTTTGGTGGATAAAAAACAGCATATTCATAAAATGAGTGACAGAAATGTGTATGTTGAATTGGATGTGGCAAAATTAAAAAAAAAAAAAAGGATAAAATAAGAATGAACACATTCCTGAGATGATAAAAGTAGCACCAACTGAAACTAAAACGAGAAAGAAGAGAACCAATTAAGATGATTAGGAATGTGCGATGATGGCCAAAACTGCATTAGTTAGGAAAAATAATACAATTCATAATGAGAGTAATGCGAGGGGAAGGAGAATGGGAAAAACTAACATGGGTTGAGATGGTAAGGAAAGATATGATAGTACATGATTTAACTGAAGCTATAGTCTTAAATAGAGCAATGGCAAAACAAGCTTCATGCGGCCAACCACAATTTGTTAGGAAAAAACTTTATTAAGTTGAGTTGAGTTTAATGTAATAATATATAGTATATACAGATTAGCAAAGCCATACAAAAGAAACCTTCTTTCAAAAGAATAAAAGGCAAGGATTTAAAGAGTTAAAAAGGCATATGACAAAAACTCGACTTTCTAACTAAAAGTTGTACTTATTTGTTTTAAGTTGTTCTAGGAATAAAGATATAGTCGAACAAAAGTGGATGCCTATGTGATGTGGGATATGGGGAGACTTTTGTAATCTTTCAAAGAATCGTACGTATAAAGCAGGGAATCTACCATCTTGTTAACTTTAACTTTCTTTGGGATCTTATTAGAATGCAAAATCAAAATGAGACGATGAACTTGGATGGGAGAGAAAAAGGCTAAGCAGTTGCAAGAGGGTGTATCAAGTTAAGCGTTTCAAAGCTTGATGCCCTTTATCAAGCTCACATTTTACTTTATGTATCATTTCTAGGTTCCAATCACCAAGAGATGGGGAAAAATTGGAAGGTTATTTTCTTCTGATAGGAACTGAGGAAGAAATTTAGTCTCATCTAGCATATTGGAAATATATTTCATCTAAGATGGAGAAAATAATTGGCAATAAGACCTTCATTTTTGAGTAATCAAATCTTTTGGGTAAATTTTTATTTTTTATTTTTAAATGTTCACATGGGAAAAAGTTTATAGAAGACTTGAATTGAAATTGTGGACTACTTGGTGGAAAGTGGTAAGCCTAAGTTGCTAGATGGAGTTCCAAGGTACATATTTGGAAAGCAATTATGAACAGAAAAGAGTTCAAATAATATCAAGTTTTAAAGTAAGGTGTGGTGGCCACAAAGTTTTGATAAAATGCTTGTTGTGTCACCCTTTTATGGATGAGCACTCTTTTTTTTGGCATAAATATAATGAGAGTATCCGCTACATACTGCTTGGCATAAAAAATGAGACAAGACATGGGTTTAATCCAAATGCATCAGCATAGGAAATCCTGTAAAAGTAGGAAACTGATGGAACACGTCTGAGGTTGTGCCCAAGTTAAATAAAGACCGATGACGGCTCCATTGAAGAAGTATGAGAGTTCACATGAAGAATAATGCTATGGAAAAGGAAGACCAACCTTAACTTCCTTAACTTTGACTAAGACGGTAAATAAAGACATGATAGCTTGTGACTTGACTAAAATTATAGCCCTAAATATAGCGGAATGGCCAAACAGAATTCATATACCAAACCCTAAAATTTAGGAGAGGACTTTTTTTTAGATGAGTTGATTTATGTTGTATACTTGATTATATACATAAGTACATAATTTTACTAGCATATCTAAATTTATATGTTAACAATAGAATAACTTGGAAGATGAAGTTTAACAAAATCAAATATATATTATGTCCAGTTGTCCACTACTGCTAACACTACACCCCATCACTGCTATGACTACTACTTGTTCTAACATCTATCCTGACAGTACATTATCTCTCTATATTAACTTAGAAGTACATACTATTTCTATATTAAAAGCATCCCATGAATGCTTGGCTTGTGTCATCAATGCGTATAACATCAAACCCTTATTAATCAAATTGAAAATTCACAGCAAGTCCAAAACATTTCCACCTATGATGTAGTGTCATGTCCAACAAAAACAGGACTCCTCGTATAAGGTTTCTGAAAGATGGTGAGGTGATGCATTAAACATTCAGCTTTTTCATGGATGGAATTAAGAAGTGCTGTGGTGTACGCAAGAAAATGAGACAAGTAGACATTTGCAAAATAAGAGACAGCATTAGGGAGCAAATGAGCCGTTGCATCGATGCATGTAGACCACTACGGTGTAATCCACAAAGGGGCAATTGGTGGTGCTCCCCAGGGAAAGATGAGAAGTTAGTGTTGACCAAAGAGTTGCAAGTCCCCTTGTAGCATACTTGTAGCCCATCCCAAAGTAGCAAGGTAAGTATTACTTTGTGATACACGTTTTCTAGTTGACCGGTGGTATGTTAGAATGACAAGGAGTATTGCAAGATAATCCACCTATTGCACATTGGCATATTGTGATATGACATCATGCGCACAGCATCATATCCATTGCAGCCATGTTGTAACCAACGAGACTATCATGACATGGTCCAAAAATAAGAACTTTGGTTGTTGAAACATGATGGCCTAGGGGCTCATTGAGCTTAGGTAAATGAACATGTGAATGTTATGAAGTGTGAACCCAAAAGTAGGGTCTCGGCTTACTCTTCACTCTATCTGTGCTTTAACTAAAACATCTAAGAGGACATATGTGCATTAGGGTATTCCAGATATTGGCATCTGTAGAAACAGGAATATATTTAATGGTGTGACCAGGGCTGATACTCTCTAATTTGCTGATTCTGGCCTTCTATATTTCAACTCTAGCCATCTCCCATTTCATTTCCACCCACCTGCTATTAATCACTCTATTTCCCACCTTTTCCCTCTTTCTAAAGAAAATGGGACGTACACGTGGCTTTAGTTTAAAAACTTTACAAGGCAAAAGTTTTGATTAATCAAGAATGCGGACGGCATAGATGTGTAGAGAGGGCATGGAAATGGTTTTGCTTACATTGAATCTTACCATAAGGAGTCAGCTAATGTTAAGGATTTTGATTTTTTTAGAGACTTTTGGTGCAAATGCCCTTAGTGCACCGTAAGGTGACATTTCAACACTTGGTTAGTGATGAAGGATAAGTCTCATTGTTCAACCGAAACTCCATCCAAGGCAAATGTTTCCTTTTCATCAAATAAAGCAGAAGAAACCAGTTTTTTATGGTAATTCAAATTCTATTTGCTACTTCCTTCTATTTTACACCCTTCGTGTACATGAGCTTACACTTTTTGGTAGGAAGGAAGGGGGAGTGAGGGGAGAGAGGAGGAAAGAATAAGTCTACATTGTTGATACAGAAAAGTGTTAGAGGGAAGGTAAGGATGGATGGATGAGGTGTCCCTCATGACCCACAATTTTTAATCCCTCCAAAATTGGATGGAAGACACAGGAGGAAAGAGAAGGAAAAGTATCGTATCTTATATAAAGTAACATTTTTATCCTTCATCAATTTCTGTCAAATTTTTATAATGAGGGTATAATGGTAGAGAAAATATAAACCTCTCACTTCCCTTCCCTCTTACCAAACAATGAAAGGTGTCAACCTCCCCACCCCCCCCCCCCCCCCCCCCCCCTCCTTCTCCCTTCCATTCCACCCACTTTTCTGTCATTCGTACCAAACGAAACATTATTCTTTATGCCTTCATTGTTACAAAGTTACAGTTATCCACGAGGGAGGCTAAAACACGAAATCTATGACTCTCTCTCTCTCTCTTTCTAGCGAATTCTCATAAGCATTTATGTTTAGTTTGGGACAAGTATGAAAAAGTGGAGATGAAAAGTGAATACCTAAGGGAAGGAAGGAGCTTTTTCTCTTGTTGTTTGATTGAATAAGAAGGAAATGAGGGAAGAAGGGAAATTAAACAGTTTGATAATTATGCCTGTGAAGTAAAATAAAATGATCCAAATCCTGAGGGGTAAAAGAAGTTCACAGGGAGGAAGATGCATGTACCCCTTTTTGCCCACATTGGGTTGGCAAGAATAAAACTGTACAGAAGTGGCAGAGCTCCTCTCTCCTTCCTTTCTTTGCTTCTCTCTCTCCCCTCTACCAGATATTTATCACTTGTATTCTTTCACCTATAAATAGAATTGATCATTGTATACAAAGATTAAAAGAGAATGTTATAGAGGTGATCATTGTATACAAAGATTATTCTCCAATGATTCCTCTAGTAACGGTAAATCTTCAATAATAGGAAAGAGCATCAATGCTGGAGGATTTTCCTCCACTGATTCCTCCAGTAAATCTTCAACACTCTACTCATCTTGGATCTTCGGATCAACTCGTATCAAATCTCCGGATCAAATCATCTCGTATCGTATCTTCGAATCAACTCATCTCAGACTCTCGACAACTTCATATTTAGCTTCAAGTTGGACACTTGGGTTAAAATAATTGTGTACCAACTTGAGGGGGGTATTGGAAAATATTATTATAGGAACCCTTAAATTAATCATTGACATAATATTTGATATGAGAATATCATAGGAGAGATTTTAGCCAATGATAAAATATTGATTGGAGTGATTAATGGGATTGATTTTAAAAATCTTCCATCAATGTATTTTCTATATTTATCACTTGTATTCTTTCACCTATAAAGAGAGGTGATCATTTTATACAAAGATTAAGAGAGAATGTAATGAAAGATATAAAAGTTAAAGAAATAGAGGTAATCATTTTGTCTAGCTTGATACTAAATATGAAGTTATCGGGAGTCTGAGACCTATGTTACATGGACTTGAGTACGGATGTCGGACACGGGTATGTATCCATGAGTCGGACGTGTCAAATCTCCAAATAGAAGGACAAACAGACATGACTAAATATTCATTTTATTAATTTTTTTTTTTTTTTTTCTAGAGTAAAGTAATGTTTTTATCTAATATAATATTCAATACAGGCATTTAACTCATTTTAAAGTAATAATATAATGTAATTAAATGATTGAATATGTTTTTTAAGTACATGTCCAACCGAAAGTGTCGGACATGTATCTCATACCTATGTCCGAGGGATATGTGTCCGATACGGGTACTTCACTATTTTTGAAGAGTCCGTGCAACAAAGTCTGAGACAAGTAAGTCTGAGACGAGTTGATCCGAAGATCCGAGACAAGTAGATGATAAAGTATGGTATGATAACCCTGCTATGATACAATGTTAAAAGATATAAAAGTTAAATAGAGAAATTAAAACATGAAGAACACAAGAATATAACATGGTTCAGCCACTAGGGCTTACATCCACGACACACAAAGCCCAAAAGGTTACATCTCTTTCATTACATTCTCTCTTAATCTTTGTATACAATGATCACCTCTGTTTATAGGTGAAAAAATACAAGTAGTAAATATAGAAAATACATTGATGGAAGATTTTTAAAATCAGTCCCATTAATCACTCCAATCAATATTTTATCATAGGCTAAAATATCTCCTATTATATTCTCATATCAAATATTCTGTCAATGAGTAATTTAAGGGTTCCTATAATAATATTTTTCAACAGAGAGTGTATCAATTTCATGGGATTTATACTTGATAGGAGTGAGAGAAAAGGGTGGGTTTTGAAAAACCATTATATTCAAAGGATACCAATTAGTCATTTTCATGTACACTTCCATACGATGTATTTCATAAAAAGCTTAAATGCATTTCCTAGTATCGTATTCTATCATTCCATAAAAAGGACTTGCGTTGTGTGCAAAATAATGTATAGTGGCGGAGGAACAACATGAATATGGCTGGGTGGCTGCCAACAAAATGAACTTGACAAGATATAAGGAATTAGAAGGAAAAACAATTCTACATTTTAGCGCATCTATTAATTAGCAATGGTAGTTTTACCGTGTTGTTTTTGCATATATTTGTGAATGTATGACTATATGATTAGAATCAAATATTTACTTCTGGCCAATTCATGGAAAAAAAAAGAGAGAGAGAGAGAGAGATATAATACATCACATATAGGATAGCCAAATCCATTATAAGATTTTAAATGCTAGGAACAAAAAAGTAGACAAGCATATGATGGTCCATCAACTGGGTAGCCATATGGAAAGTGGCGACTGACTAATATAATGTAATCATACTCCTGTTCTATTCCAAAATTCAAGCAGGGTTAGTTAAGTTTGTGCATGCTGCCCCACCTGAGGCAACAAATGTCTTTTTTATAATATAAATTGAACAAATGCACAACATACACTGCAAAGACAAAACATGCACATCTAACATTATAACCCTAAAAGACAAAGTAAAACAGGAATGTGAGGTAGGCAAATATATGACACAATAAGTACATATGCAAATCTGCATAAATGCATACATATCACTCAAAATGCCATAATTATAGTACAATTTATTTCTATAAAGTTATGATTATAATTAATTGGATGGTAAGTTAAAGAGAAGCCCCCACACATTTCCATTCTTCAACTACGTTGCCGAGGCCAAATACACAGTAATAATGGTTTAGCTTTATATATTACACATTCTAAACATGGAAATATATAAAAATATCGAAATGCCTAAATATGTTGGATATTTCTAATAATTCAGAGACGTATCAAATTTCCCTTCAATTACTGAAAGTTAATGGATGTGATTATTCATGTAGCAGCAGATATGATGATAAAAGGTAAAACCAAAAAACTAACAAATGCACATATGAAGTATAAAGGATGTTTATATCACTGGGGCTTTAGAATCTGATATCAAATTCATAATATAAAGATCAAGATGCAACTAAACTTATATCTAGCATACGAACTTGACAAGCTGTGAGGACTTTCAGTTGTGGCCTATTCAGATTAACTATTAATCTAAATTTGTGCAAAAGTAGATATTTGGATTTTAGATACACTAATATAATGGATCTTTTGCATTGAAAATTTGAAAGAAACAAAGGGAAAAAATAATAATAATAAACGCAAATATAGATTTTGTTATCCTCTAGTTTAAAATAGAAGTGAATAATAAAAATGCTGAGTACTTAAGAAATATAACCCTGACAGGAAGTAAACATTAAATGAAAGGTGATAGACAATGTACTTATTCCATCATCGATAACAAATTATTCGAATTTTCCAGGCGAAGTAACTAGAAAAAGAAACAAAATCTCTTGTGATTGATGACCTGTTGATGCAGCAACATTAAATATAAACTGAGATAATTTATAAACTGTCATATGTAGAAATGTCATAATATTTTTCAAATGCTAGTTACCATTCCGTCTACCTACCATGGAAGAATTGGCACCAATGTCGGATGATCTGAGACAAAATTCAAGCTCTTCAAAAAGGCGATCCACTTCCTTCTCGAATTCTGACTTCTCTGGCGGAGGTGGATCTTCATCTTCAAATCGGAACTTCAATGGCAGCTCAGCTGGTGGATTTATTTCTCCACTGCAATCATTGTCTCTGGTAGAAACTAAGTCTTCCAATTGTGAATCTCCATTCTCCCAGATTGAATTTTCAAGAATCTTGACAATTTCGGGCTTCCTCAACTTCCTCAAAACTCTTTTTCCTTTTTTACAACCTTTCCACACAGCCTTTGCACTACTGGCATTATGTGAGCAAGTGTTATCATCAATTTTGGTGAATTTGTCATCATCATGATTTCTGACATAATCACCATCACCCTCATCTTGCTCAGAGGAAGAAGTCAGCTCCTCATCCTCGTCAACAGAAAGTGGATGGCTAATGGTTCCCAGCTTTTTCTCCTCCTTTCGAGATTCAGAAAGAACATGTCGCCGTTGTCGAAGCCGTCCTGCCACGCCTTTGTCCTCTTTGGTGTCTTCTTTGTTCTTCTCTTTGCTGCAATCAACCAAAACATCCAAACCCAAATCTTTTTTTCTCTTTAACCCACCCTCCCTTCTCTCCTTTCCCTCCCCCTCAGCACTTCCAGCCTTGACAGTGCTACTGCCATTTCCATCTTCACCCCCATCATTCATGCTATAGGAATTCGACTGCTCCAAACTAACTGCATGACAGGAATTGACTTTTCTCCTTTTTCCATCCTGAACCATTTTTTCTTTCCCCTTTGCATTAACTCTTGCACTCTCCATACCTCTACATTCTTCTTCTTCTTCTTCTTCTTCTTCTTCTTCACAAGAACTTGTCTCATCCGAACTAACAGAGACACAAGAATTCTCCACTATAAAATCCTCGTCGCTAGATTCATCGTTATCCTCTTCACTGGATGATTCTGCCTCCTCTGAATCCTCCAAATCAACACATGCATCATCATCATCCAGACTCTTCTCCTCAATTCCATCCTCTGATGGTGTTTGACTAGGTGTACTGCTTTTCCCATCATTAATATTGACCCCATCACTCTTCTCAACCATCATTTCACTATATGAAACAGCCTCGCCAACATTTATCTGAGCACAATAATTATCTTTATTTGATCCCATTTTTAAACTCGAAGAACATGAGTGAACAACCTCATCGAGCAACACAATTTCATCCTCACTCCCATCATCATCATCATCAACATCATCGTCAACAACAACAACTTCCTGAACTACGTTCCTATTTTTCTCCATCATCATCAATTCCTTCTTTTTCTTCTTTAATTCAGCCTCCAATCTCTTCAATTCCCTCTTTTTTTGGGCCAAATCAACACTACTTGCAACTACATTTTTCTTTGCCTTTTCGCCCAATATCCCTTTTTTCTTAGATTCAACACTAATTTCAACTACATTCTTAACTCCCTTCACAATCTTTTCCGAATTCACATTTTTTTCTAATTCAACATCAAATTCAACTCTATTCTTACTTCTTTGCAAATCAATTTTGGACTTGCCCTCCTTTGACCCAGCACTCTCTCTCTGGGTATGGACAGAAACATCACCGTCTCTTTCACCTAAATTCACACCAGAATTTACAACTTTCTCAACAATCACACCCTTCCCACCACCAGAAACAGCCAAAGACTCGGAATCAAAATCACCAACGGACCCAGAATTCCCAAAATCCTCAACCCTAACCCTATCTTCCCCATCCGATTTTTTCTCTCTTTTCCCACTACTCTCACTCAAACATAAACCACTACCAGCAGACTTAGCCTTCTTTTTTTCATCGTTGTAACGTCTGAAGAAAAGATTCTCCTGAAAACGAGTTCGCTTCGCTAATGGCACTTTGCCATAATCCATCAGTCAACATCCAAAACTCCAATCCCACTGTCACAGATTAAACAAAACAGAGCACATCAGTGAAAATCAAATCAAATCAAATCAAATATATATACAACATATATAGATATATTTAGAGAGAGAAAAAGATACGCATAGAGAGAGAGAGTGGAGTGTGGCATGCGTTACATGGGAGAAAACGAGCGAGTTTTTCGACGAGAATGTGGAGAGTTGCAGCGGCCAGAGCGAACTAGAGAGAGAGAGAGAGAGACGTAGAGAGAGAGAGTTCTACAAAGAGAGAGAGAACTGAGAGGTGATTGGTAAGATATGTCTAAAATAGGTAGGTAGCAAAAGGGCGCGAACAGCTCATGCAAGGAAGTGGAAAGGGTATTAAGGAATCGGCGATTATTTGGATGCTATTACAAGTTTACAATTGTTGCATTGTGTGACAAAGGGCTTTGATTAGTACCAAAACTACCCTCATTAAAGGGCCTTAAATGACACTTAAATTTTTTAAAATAAAGCTGTGATATTAGGGAAAAAAAGAAAAGAAAAGAAACTTATTACAAATCATTATTTATTAAAAAAATCATATAATCATTCCTTAAAAATAGTTTTTTAATTATTATTATTTTTAAAATAGTTGTGAATCCAGACTTATTGCGTTATTTTCACACTGTAGATAACTGAAGATTATATGTTACTTTTTGACCATGACAAAGACAAAGATTAGTACATGTGATGACAAAACTAAGCGGCTGTCTCTTAAATTTTAGCAATCTGACTAGTTTGTCTCTACTCTTCTAATTAGTTCACATCCCATACCGCTTTGTTTTAAATTTTGTCTCGACTCTTCTAAGTAGTTCATAGTCCATAACTTAAACTTTTCAGTGACAAAGTTCGATGCCACTCCATAACATGACTCGTGTATGGATTAACTTTTAACGATTTGAGATTATAAATGAGTTGACAAAATTAACTACTTCTTTTATTTAATTTTATTGTGTTAAGAATGAATTATTAAATATTATATATGGTACTTGAGTTGGAGTTGTTGGATCATAAATATACTAGTGGGATCAATAGGTCAATGACTTAGCGGTATCATGCCTCTGTTTTCTAAAGAGAGATTAGGAGTTAGGAGTTCGAAGTTCGAATATAAGTGGAAACATGTATATGTGAGTACTAATTAAAAAATAAATAAATATAATAGTGGGCTCCATCACATTCATAGTCCGGAATGACTTTAAGATATTTAATATTTTCTCTGTATTAAGATTGAAGAGTTCAACCCGTATAATCCGTTCAAGCTCGTTTAACTCAACCTATCATAAGACTCAAAACCTAAGTCACATAAAGTGGGAGCAAGAGCGAATTCGAGAACGGGAGTGTAAGAGCGGCAAAATTAAATCATAAACAGTAAAAATTTGAGTGAAACCGTACGAGAAGCATGAGAACGGGAACGCGCTCGGAACATAAGAGCAATACTTGTTAAGAAAGATTGTGTGACTTAACTCATAACCATACATGTTTAGACCCAGTTACTATGGACAATTAAGTCATTTCAATATAAACTCAGTTACTATGGTGTTTGATGTTTTTCTTCTTATTTTAAATATTGGGTTAATTGAGGCTTATATTTTTTTCCTAATTTTGATTGTTTGATTGAGAATTAAATGTCTCGTTTTGATAAATAGATTATTAAAACACGTTGATATCTGTAACCCGTTTAATAAATAAATCGAATTAGTATTGAGAATTCTTAACACGATTATTAAACGGATCATGTTTAAATTTACCTGTCTAGTATAATATTCTTACATCAATATGACACGATTATGACTGACAAACAGGAATAGTCACCCCTACTTTTTAGTTTGAAAGACAATATATCTTTGTAAAATAAAAATAAAAAATACTTTTTGACAAAATAAAATATATTTGAACTTTCAATTTTCAAAATTTGAAGGAGAACCTTTATCATTAAGTTATTCATACGAGATTTTTTTGACTTAATAAAAATTTTCGTGCATATGTTGTACAACATCATTAGAATTTTCGACCAATAGTATATCATCAATATACACAAGAGCATTAAAGTATTTGAAAGCCTAAAGGTATTGAAGAAGCTAATTTTTTTAACATAATATTTATTTTTAACTTTCTCCTATTTCGAATTGTGCTTACGATTATTTCAACAGTTTTTTTATATTATTATTTATCAAATATCAATTCCATTTGTATAGTAACGTGGCATGTTTATGGTATTTAATTGTCCAACAATGAGATTGTGACATTTATGCACGACAGGGGATTGCTAATTTGTCTAGTCCATTGATATTTTTGAGATTGCAAGTGAATTTTGGAAAAAAGTTGTAGTACTCCGTAACTTATAGGTCCTTTGTGGTGGCGGGCTTTTTGGGTTTAAGAATTGGTGATTATTATTTAATGAGTAGTGACTATTCCGGTGAGTCCTCGGTCATGGTCAAGTACGGTCAACCTTTTTGACTGCTTTTTTTCTATTTTTTTATTTTTTATTTTTTCAACTTTGGTCCACTACTCTTCAATTTATGGATAAGAGTATCTGTCTTTTGATTTTGATTTTTTTTCCTATTAATTACTAAATTAATTATTTTGGTAATATAAGGTCTTTCTTATATTTAATTTTTGACTAAGAGGAATAATATTTTTGTACTATTCTATTTACTGGATGTTATGAGATTACGGTGTCTCGTCTTGTTTGTCTAGTATAAGAATCATATATATGAATATGAGACACGGACACGATATAATACAAATAGACATATCAAATTATAAAATATAGGACACAAACACGGCATGGGATATAAATATAAATTTTTATTTATGTACTAAATGCTTGATTACACGTGTATCTTCTTGACATTATCATTGTTTACTTGGAGCCACGTATATCCAAATTATGCATAATGTTAATTTACCAAAGCAATTAGAATTAAAAAATAAAAAATAATATTTTCTCTTGAATCAAATTAGAATATTATTCTATTTAACAATAGCGCACGGTTCTTGAAGTTCGATACCTTTAATATAACTTTATTCTATAAGGATTCGTTATATTGCGAGTAATTTTATCATTAAAAACTTCACATCATGAGGTGCACCGATGCTAATAGGATGTCATATGCATGCTTAAATCATACATTGTGCCACTCTACCAACTTCTAGGTACACTAGTGAAAGGGCATAAAATCCCACTAGGCCAAATTCGGCTCGGCCCACCAATTGAGAAAGAAGTCTAACGACTCCCCAACCCACTCGTTCTCACTCAGGCCTGTCCTGAGTGATGGATCGACCCAATAAAGGACCAAGCCCATTTTGTGTCTAAAAGGAATTTTAGGGCAAGTGTAGTTTTCTACAAATAGAAGAAAGAGTAAAGAGGGGCTTTTTTGTTTGGTGTAAGAAAACTTTTTCCCTAAGAGAAGCATTTTCTTGCATCTTTAACTAGTCATGTCATTGGAAATAATTGATAAAAACAAAGTTATACAAGCAATTTATCATACACTAAGCATGTTTGACATCATATATCTCAATTCCAATCAAAATAGTTCAATTTAAACACAATGGGCACATAATTTCTCATGTAATTTGCAAGGGAGGCATGCACACCACATTAAGCAAGCAACAAGTAAGTATAGGATCAATTAATCATATTGTACTTATATCATTATGTTAAACATGCTTGAGCAAGGAAAATTAAGTAAAATACTTATTAAAACTTAGGAATTTGTTAGTTAGACAACTCCTACCTCAATTTCAAGAATTTGTTAGTTAGACAACTCCTACCTCAATTTCAAGCCAAAACTCTATGTCCCTCCAATTTGAAAATGCTCCAATTTATTCGAGAGTGATACCAAAATGAAGCCCTTGATGTGTAGATCGACTTTCCCTCTTAGCTCAAGACCTAAATCTCACTCCAAGTGACTCAAATCTATGGTTGAAATGTGAAAAGATGGAGAAAGAGAAAAAGGAAAGTAGAGAGAGAAGGAGAGTTGGCCGGATGAGAGAGAGGAGGTGATGATCAAAATGAGCCAAAAATTTTAATTTGTAGTCCTCTGTATGACTTGGTCAATGGTGGAGTCCACCTCATGTGCTAAAGTTACAAACATGCCATTTAAATACAAATATAACTACAACAATGCCACATAAAAATCTAGCCAAATATATATATATATATATATATATATATATATATATATCACACCAATTAATAAAATAATGAAATGCAATAAAATTAGAAAATTTTTCGAATATGAAAATCCGGCCTTGGGAGGCAAGGACCACCGGGGACTTTTGGGACCGAAAAATAAAAAAAATGTTAAAATGTATCGTAATGCATTTTTAATAGTTCTAAATTCAAAGAAATGTCTTAAATGATTCTTGAAACTTACATGGTACGCAAACCAAAGCTCATAAATAATAAATCTGGAAAAAATATATATATATGTCGAAAAATCCAAATATATATATATATGGGGCACTACATACACTTTGATTTATGTTCATAAATGTTGTTTCTGAACAATCGTGTATTTGCTTTATCGAGATAATGAGTGTAAGATTTGTTAGTCAATTGTCTGGAATGAATGGATTAAGTGTTCAAGATATTTCGCCTAAATGTACGAAAATAATTATATTTATTTTAAAATAATAGACACAACCATAAAGTGTCAGACATATGTCTAAGAGTGTCTATGAAGTGTCGATGGACACAATGTTTGACACAAACATGACATCTCGTGAAAGTATTCGTGTTTTATAACTGACAGTGGTACGTTTTCCAATACATAATATGTACGTACCAAGTCCATTTCCACTACAAAAATAATAATAATAATTTTATTATTATTATTGACAATTTGTATAAATTACTCTGTGTGATTGTCCAAATAAGTCGTTTTTTTAAATATATATATATTTATATATATATACAACCCCACTATAATTTATTGATTCCATTTCTTAGCAACTATTTTTATAACAATAAACAACTTTTTTTTTTCTCCACTATCTTTCCGAAACACAAAGGTTGCATATTTTCACTTCTTTTGGTTCATTAATCAAAGCAACACAGTAATGTTAAAACTATCCATTGTTTTTCTTTTCTTTTCCTTCAAAAACTTCTGCATTATTTTTATTTTTTTATTTTTCTTAATAACAGAGAAAAAAAGTAGTAAAAATCAAAATATGTAAGTAATTTTAGGATTACATCCGATATATGTTTGTAAGGTAAATTTCAAATATGTATAATCATTCGCAAATTACACAATATTTAAATATTAATATTTTTGTATTTAGCGAAAATTAAATTCAGAATGTTCAAATTTACAATACTTGTAATGAATTAACTTTAAAATAGAATAATGCCTAGAAAAAATGAATTTGAAGTTGGTCAAGTCAATTTCCCCATTTTGTGCTGATTCCTCGCAATCCAGTTGGTTAAGAGCTTTCATGTGAAATTTGGAGTGCTGATGCTAGAGTCTGGACCTACCAACATAATCCAACATGAACCAAAAAATTAAAAATAAAAAAATAATACCTTGCTGGACCTCATATATTTTTCTCCTTAAAGCAGTAAAAACTTTGTTGTTTCCCCATGCAACGAACCTGACGAAAGAGAGAATGATTTCGACATCAGATTACATAACTGCCACATTTGATTTTAGGTGCTCCTTTTTAAAATTTAATAACTGAAATGACTATTTTACCCTTTCCTTTGTAATAGTAATTTTTGGAATATTGGATACTTCATTAAAGTAATATTTTTTTATATTAGTGATACTATGTAATTTGTGTCATCATCCAATTAAAAGTGTTTTACTTTTAATATTTCTTATTATTAATTATTTATATTTAATAAGTTGGTAATATCATGTCATTATGAAAGTAGAAGTAATAGAGTATTTATCGAGATGAAGAGTGAGAATATATCACTTCAATTATTAAAATTAAAAGATCGAGAGGGTTAAATGTGGAATACTAAAACCATCTCCCCCTCTAAAAATCTTGAAATTAGTATGAATTGTATGAACCCGCATTTGTAAGTGATTAAATCTATTGGTCTCATTAGCAATATTTAGGTGACAAAGGAGAAATGATGATGAGAAATCATTTGGATCAATATTTCACGTATAATGTTTAATGTTTAAGTGTTTATTCAACTTAAAGTGTGCTTTGTTATTAAAAGTTAAATATCACTTAAAATATTAAATTCTATTTAAAATTTTGGATTCTATTAAAAGGTTTACAAGTTTGAGGATTTTGATAAAAAGCTTTAATACCAAAACTACCCTCATTGAAGGATCTTAAAAGACTTAAATTTTTGAATATAAAGTTTCATGTTCATGGGTGCTATTTTGTTGGTAAGTAGAGTTGTTACAATTGGAAATAAAAAGTAATATCAGCAATTTTTAAAAATACATTTACACTCCATTTTAACTTTTTTATAATATAAGAGTAATATAATCATCACTTAAAAATAGTGTGTTCTTTTACTTTTTAAAATAGTAGTGAATTGTGACAAGTTTTTTATATTTGTAAAAAGTTTATTTTCAACTTATTAACATTTTGATTATAAGTTACTTTTTGAATATAAATAAAATTATGTTATGTTTCGGTACCTTGAATTTGGGATTGACGAAAATTATTTTAATTTTGAATTAAATTTTCTCTAATTCTAAGTCCAAGGCACTGACTCAGTGTTCCCAAACATAATAAAAAATGATATTTTTGATGACTTTCTCATATTGATAAAAAACCGACATATGCCAATCGTAATAACAAGTAAATGTAATATATATTTTAGACAAAATTACCTTTTCCTCTTTGTTTATACGTACATCTTTTTCCCTAAAATTCATTCACTTTACAAAATACATTCTTCATTAAAAGACTTTGTTGCGTGGAAGTGGAAAAGAAGTGAAAATTTTGTTATTGAGGAGGCCCTGGATGACATGGGCCAGGTCCGACTCGCAAAACACAACCTTCAGTCCGAACAGCTGGGTCAGCCCATAGAAAGACACTGCCATATGGGCCGGGCGGGAGTAAGCCCATCAAGGGTGACCAGGGCTTACAGAGGAATAGGCCCAGGTCCAGCAATTAGTAAATATCTTGTAAGTATCTATAAATAGGAGTTGGAATGAAGGGGAGGGGGATCTTTTTCCGGGTTGAGGTGTAAGAATTCTAGAGAGAGAAAGAATAGAAGGAGTTTCTTGCATCTTCAATTGGCGCCGTCAATGCAGATAAAGTTCGACTGGACAGACCTGCAGCGTGTTCAACTGCCTCATGACGACCCGTTGGTAGTCAGTTTGACAGTGGCAGATTGCTTGGTGCGCAGAGTTCTGATCGATCCTGGGAGCAGTGCGAATGTTATGCCGAGGGACACATTTGACAGGCTCGACATTAAACCAGAGAGGCTCAAGCCCACCGGAAATCCCTTATTAGGGTTCGATGGGAAGAGGGTGGAACCTGTCGAGATGGTGGAAGTAGAAGTTCAAGCTGCAGAGCGAGCTCTTATGGAAACTTTTGTGGTTGTGGAAATTCACCCCTCGTATAATCTCCTGATGGGAAGAGGATGGATTCACAGAGTCCGAGGTGTACCCTCAACTCTGCATCAGGTCATGAGGTGCCTCGGGCCCGATGGAGATAAAGTGATAGACATTCGGGGGGATCAGGTCGCAGCCAAAGAGTGTTATTCCGTCACACTAAAGCATGCAGGGAAAGGAAAGGCGCCCGTCCGGTCGACAAGCCCCAGATAGCAATTACAGGAACCTCCACTCGAGCAGAATAGGGTGGAGGAGTCAGCCGACTTGACCGAGGAGCCCCTTCTGGATGTGCAGATCGATCAGTCCAGGCCAGAACGAACTACCAGAGTGGGTATAAGACTGACCAGAGAAGAGCAGCAAGAGCTAGTGGATTTCTTGTCCCACAATGTCGACGTATTTGCATGGAGTCACCTCGACATGCCTGGAATTAGTCCTTCCGTCTCCTGTCATTCCCTAAATGTCAATCCTAATTTCAAACCAGTGAAACAGAAGCAGCGAAGATTTGCTCCAGAACGTAATCAGATCATAACGGAAGAAGTTGATAGGCTGCTTGATGCGGGATTTATCAGAGAGGTGCACTACCCTGAGTGGTTGTCCAACGTCGTTGTGGTGCAGAAGAAAAATGGGAAATGGCGCGTATGCATTGATTTCACCAATTTAAACAAAGCCTGTCCGAAGGACAGCTTCCCGTTGCCTAAAATTGATCAAATGGTGGATGCCACCACGGGGTATGAGCGTTTAACCTTTCTGGACGCATATTCAGGTTATAATCAGATTCCTATGGACCCCGCAGATGAAGAAAAAACTTCTTTTGTCACCGAGCGAGGAACATACTGCTACAAAGTTATGCCTTTTGGATTAAAGAATGCGGGAGCAACTTATCAACGACTTGTCAGCAAAGTTTTTAAGAATCAAATGGGTAAGACTGTCGAAGCCTATATTGATGATATGGTGGTAAAGAGTAGGAAAAAGGATGATCATCTGAAGCATCTGCAAGAGGTATTTGATGTACTAAAGCGATATGGGATGAGGCTCAATCCGACCAAGTGCTCGTTCGGTGTGAGTTCCGGGCAGTTTCTGGGACACGTGGTCAACCGTAGGGGCATCGAAGTTAGCCCCGCTCAAGCAGAGGCTTTGATTAAGAATGCCGAGCCAAAGACGATCAGAGAGGTGCAAGCCCTAACAGGACGAATAGCTGCATTAAGTCGATTTATTTCAAAGTTGTCAGACCACTGCAAACCATTCTTTGACACGATTCGGAGCCATGGAAGGCAGGTCTGGGGGGATGAGCAACGACAGGCATTGACTCATTTGAAGCAATATATGCAGAACCCACCAGTCCTATCAGCCCCAGAACCGGAAGAAAAGTTATTTCTATATCTTGGAGTATCTGGTGTCGCGACGAGTGCCGTTCTGATTCGTTGCAAGGAAGGGGTGCAATACCCGGTATTTTATGTAAGCAAAACACTGATGGAGGCAGAA